AGACTTGATGTAGATGCATGATCCTCTAGTGTCTGGTGCACTCAGATCACTTGTAACAAGTCGTAGTTCTGGATTTGCATAATCTGTTTGTCTGGTAGCGCTCCCTGTTTTGGTTTTATTTCCGTCAAGCAAATAATGTCGTAGTCTTTTTCATTCAGTAGTGCACAGAGTTCGTCATACTTGCTCATTATGGAGTTGTCTACATTCGTGTACATAATACTGAGATCTTGGTTCACATCTCTTGCTACTTTAGTTCTACTACTTCTCCTCTTCTGATCATCCACTTTTGTTGTGGAAACCGTTCTCTCTGGGTCTTCAGGTGCTCTCTTAGGTTTTTTGAGTCCTCAAGCTGTTTTTTGGTCAAGTCTGGTCGTATGTATACTTGGTTATATGTCGCATGTGAACTTTTCTCATTATAGGTGACAGACCAGGTAGATGGTCTTAGAATTAAATATAAATTTTTCTTGAGTACAGAAAATCCCCCAAAAAGCTAATAAAGTCAGCGCATGCGCGGTTAAGAATATGAGAGTCGCCGTTCTTCCACGCGACTGTGACGTCACAAAACTTCAGAGCAACAGTTGTCGTTTTGTTGTGAGAGCACGATTTGTCTCCGCTCCGACAAAAACAGAGCTCTACTCTGGTTTTACCAGGCGTTTTCTGCAAAGTTCTGATTGACAGAACTTACAGAGAGAATAGTTGCGTTCTTCCACATCTTCGGCCAAATTGTACTTGAGTAAAAAACACGCCAACATGGCGATAGGCCGCACGGGGTTTCATCATCCCGTAGTGATGAGCCTACTGACAGCCGCCACTCTTGTAACCGTGCTTTGGTTAGTTCTTAAAGAAGGTGAGTTGGTCTGATTTCAATATCTCATCTGTACCTGATTAATTCTTAATGACTTTTAGTATTAATCCCTGCCTTTTATGTCAGTTTCCCCAGAATAACAGGGCAATCTCCGTCTTCATGATACAAAACATTTTCTTTACCCTCCAACTGCCAGGGACTTAATACAAGCTAACGATCCGATTTGAAGCTAAAACCTCCGGTTACGTACATACAGATTTAACTCTACTTTCAGCAAGAGTTTTTAGATGATTGACGTTTGTTTGTACATGTTTGACACAGACAGAAAGCAGAAGAAGGAAAGGAAAGATGTTCCACGGAAACCAAGGACGATGTTGATCCCAAAACTTTCCCACCGTTACAACAGAAGCGAGCTGTTGTATGACGACGATGACGATTTTGAGACAGTCGTGTTGGAGGAGTGGGTCGACAAGTATGACGGACCCTCAGGAGGTAAGATACAAGTAAATTTAGTAAAGATGAACCCAAAGATATAGATCTATATTGGGTAAATATGTTCTACATGTGCATATGTGTGTGTATATTGTAATCCGTGCGTTTTGTCAGAGTCTTGCGTTCTATAGAACAATGAACGAATGAACATGCCTGTCCTTGGTGCTGAACACAATCCATACAAAGAGAAACATACCTATCCTGTTTCTTAATGGTGTGTAACTTTGCTAATAGTTACTAGCCGATCAATTTGTGTTGTTAAGACTTTTCCTGAAAACCAAGGGTTTGTAAAGAACGTCAATTCTGTAACAAACGTGTGTTTTCTAGTCATAGTCTGACGTAGCCCTGAACCGATGTGTTTCAGCTTATACCCACCGTGCCACCTTCGTGCCGACGGAGAGTCAGAGCTGCCCTAACCTAGGCCAGCCGCGCCGCCCGGCAGCCCAGCAGCCCCGACCCCGCCAGCCTTCCCGCCGTCCGCCCCGCAAGTCTGATCCTATCGCGATCAGGTCCGCCACCTCAGTGTTTGGCGACGCGGGCTTCTTTGCCGCCCTGCGGGATATGGGAGAGGTGTACGGAGAGGTGCACTGTGCCGGCGAACGTTCTATCGTGCACCGTACGGAATCTGCAGAGTTCCCCCGCGCTGGGAAAGTCCAAGTCGGCGACAACTCGCGCCTTGAGAAGGAGGAAGAAGTCTTCTATGACGTCCCCGGGTTGCCAATGTGGAAGATGGAGGAAGAAATCTTCCACGATGCCATTGGCCTGCCGATGAAGCTGCCTGAAGCTGAAGACACGTTCTACGACGCGCCGGGCGCCCCGATGTGGCTTCCAGACGTCCGCCCTCTCTCTCCAGTGCGGGGACAGCAGCCAGTATTAGTGCCAGTCCTGGAGCAGCGACCACTGGCCGCCCTGCCGAGAGACGTCATACCGCCCGCTATCATCGAGCTGATGTTCGCTATCCAGGTGCTGATATTCATCTTCGCTCACTCCCAAGGCGGCGCTCTGAGGATCCTGGTGGAACCAGTACAAGTCATGGCGAACAGGATCACACAGCTGCTGAGGAGGGGTCGGTTCTACCGTTAGAAACCCGGTGTATAGACGATGCCGACGTAGGGTACGATTCCCCAACAGTTGTATATAACTTGAAAATTCAATGCGAGGCATGATTCTCTGAAAGAATGTTAGAGAAAGTGAGGAAAAACTTTGGCAGGACGTCACAGCCAAAGAAGATTTAAAAAAAAAATTAAAAAATCAGACAAAATATGGAAACCTTCATGGGAGCCAATGAAAAAAATGTTATGTATTAATTTTCAGTTCAGTTTTACTGTATACTATAACATTATATTTTTTGCACATGTCCACTATGACTATGGCCCTGTAACGTACATGCAATATATCTAAAACATTGCACTTTTACTATAACATTTGTTTTTCTAAATTTTGAGCAATGTATACCCCATGTCAAATATGGAGTATAGTGTTCATTGAATGCAAAATATTGTACGTTTCATACTTTATTTGAATTATCACTGACAATGTTTGCTCAACCCCTTGGCCACCTGTACTTTTGTAAACCAAATTTTTACTGTATTTTACTACTGTATTTTTTACCGTATTTCAAGTACATTGTACTACTGATAATGTTGGCACACCCCTTTGACTCACCTATACTTCTGTACACCAAATTTTGTACAGTAGCTTTGGACAGTGGGGGGCTGTCAGTAAAGTGCTGACATTATCTGCATTGTTAATTTCTTGATTTGTTTTATTAAAGTTCCTATCGTTGAAGAACCCACTGGCTTCTTTGTTTATTATCTTTAAGCTCAAGCATAACATACCCCTATTGGATGATTCTAAAGGTTAATGATCAAGTGGGTAGTTTTATGACCTCTTTGCACCAGGCGTTCTAGGATGATTCCATTTAAAAAGTTGAGGGGTGCCCTCACAGGTTTTCTCACCAGTGTAAGTGCTCTGTATAACCATTATGTAAGGACTGAAAATGACACGTTGTATTCAGACATGCTTTATTTATCAATAGAGTAAAACAATTTTAGAATCAAGGACAAAATTTTATCTTTCAATTCCATCAGGGAGTATAAGGATGAAATTCTTGTACAAACTTCGCTTCTGTACAACTGTACATACCTGTCAATCTTCTTCAACAGGCGGAGTTGAATAAAACATTTTCTCCCAGTTTTCATAACGCTGTTTCCACATTCGTAAACACATTGGTTAGAATTGTGATCATATCTGATTCATTCTTAGTTCATTTGATTTTGACTATATTCTAGATAGGCAACAGTTGTCATATTGGTAAGAATGTCAAGTATCTATTACTAGTATCTAAAGGAAGATATGGTTTAGAAGATGTTTCCTTTTGCAAAGTGTACCTGTTCGCCCATTCTGTATTGCTGCATACATATAGAAAATAGTATTCACAACTGTGGTGTAATAATGTGCCCCCGTTTCAAAAATCTTTCCAACAGCCCTTTAGTTCTACATGCATAACGTCCCATATTTTACAGTTAGTTGTTACATGATTTCTCTGTGTTGGAAACCAGAGAAGTGGCAGTAGACAAAGAATTCCTTTCTGTACAAAAAGCAGCCGCTATAACTGTGAAAAAGCCATCTAAATCACACACACAGATCATCTTCAAAAATTACTAGGAAAAAAACCCAACTTACTAATCATTTAGAAGACTGAACTAAACGATAAGCAAAACTGTGTCTAAAGCAACTTCTTCATTGCAGCAACAATGTACTACTTTGACAGTGAGTTTCACTTGTGGATTGTGATGGTTTAAAAAGTCTGAGTTCCTTGGTAAGGCACATATTATTTGCCCTGAACACTGTACTCTCACTGATGATCAGTTCATGGTATTTCTGGATGAATACCATAAAAAGAAGGCCATACTAGCAAATCTAGGCCATACTAACAAATCATTTATGTAGCAACCTGATGATGAAACTACTTCAGTGAGAAAATGAAAAGTGAGCACCTAAGCTATTGGAAATGTGTGATCCTAAATGAGAAATTATTAATGTCTTAAATTTTCACATCGTTCTAAGAAAGAAGTTTGTACTGTTTGCCAAGATGTCTGCACTATGTTCCCAAAAGGTTTGTACATTGTACTACATTTTACAGTTTATAACTGATTCACTGTTGACCATTTCATTTGTGACTGATTCGAAAACACAACACTGTATACCTTCCAAAACGTCTTTCCTGTACCCAAAGCTGTAAAAATATAATGCGTACGTACATTTTACCCTGAGAACTGTTTCCGACGCAGCAAAACTGTGAAGTGCCTTTACACCAAGTCCAACATTGCCCAACTATGCCACCTAGCAAATCAAATCTGAACTGCAACCTTACTAGATTTCTGTGTATGCCTGTTGCAGTAGATATAGCATGGGGCACATAAGCCTATAACTGTGAAATAATGCTTTAACACACATTAAAAGAAACAGCAACTTCAGAAAACGACATGGTTGGGCATAGCAATGATAAATACAATGTTTGCAGGACTTTTAGCCCAAGCCAAGTAAGTGAAAACGATTTCGCATCTCTAGACATTTTATACAACATGCTGGTACTGCCATATTTGAACTTTACAAATATAGACATGCTAAAATACATACAAATAAACAGAGCCATTTTTTGGAAGCATGCTCCAACACTGAGACATATATGTATTAGTTAGGCAAGTGGTGTTTCTGTGTCAATGTAGAGGGACTGATCCTGCCATACCCAGATCCAGCTGGCTTGAATTGGCTGGATGAAACCAGATCTAACTGGTCTGGATGGTAGAATGGATCCAGATCGAGCTGGTTTGAACTGGATTGCAAAATGTTGATCTGGCAAATTTAGATGACAACCAGATCCAGCTGGAGATCAGACAATAACACCTGGTTGCTTAGCAACTGAGCTGGATCAGTTGAACTAGATCATTCCAGATTAAACTGGAGCAGACCAGATTGAACCAGATCAGTCCAGATTGGACTAGACCAGTCCAGATTGAACCAGACCATTCCAGATTGAACTGGATCAGTCGAGACTGGCCTAGACCAGCTCAGATTGAACCTGAGCAGCTCAGATTGGCCCTGATTGGACTAGACCGGCCTAGCTTGAACCAGATCTGTCCAGTTTGAACTGGATCAGTCCAGATCTAGCTGGTCCTCCACTTGGCTGACGCTGTCAGGCTGCAGCTCAGACAGCAGTGCGGTTGCCTCGGCCAGCGTGCTCTGTGCGCTCATGGTGCGCTGGAAGCTGCGGCTGCTGGACAGCTCATTGGACACGTTGGACTGCTGCGGGCGGTACTGGTGTTCCTGTGGGGAACCAGGAAAAATAAAGTCAGTATGATCTTATACAAACAAACAAAATAGCAATTTGGAGACCTCCATGAAATATGAAATCTTGTGTACAATCATGTTAATTGTTCTTTTCTCATTCACCGTGGTGTCTAGAAGTCAGCACCTTTTATATATAATTAGGAGGAGTTCTTTGCTATCTGGTGCACTAGTCTACTATTATATCACAAGTCATGATTAACACCTGTGTAATGACTAACACCTGATTAATGGCTTTCTCCCTCTGGAACAAACTGAACCCAACCATATCCATTACAATCTGTGGCAACAGACGAACACACATACCTACAGACAGACCAAAAAGAATACCTCCAACTTTCATGGAGGTAAAAAGTCAACAAACTATAGTGCTCCCTCACCTGCATCTTCTTCTGCAGCCATGACACAGCCCACTTCCACCCAGATGACACCTCCAGTAGGAACTCCTTGGCTGGGTGGCTCTTGTTGGCCAGGTGCACCAGGAACTTGACACACTGGTATGTCCTGGTGCTGTCGCTGGTGTGGCTGCCGCGCATCAGCCCGATCAGACCGTCGTTGTTGGTGCCCTTGATGACGGAGTCCAGCCGGTCAGTCTGCAGGGGGTCCTCCAGCATCAACACCTAGCAGGGGAAGTGTGAAAAGCATGAATGAATGAAAGTTTATTATTTACTGCAAGGGGTTTTGGGAGGTGATCCAGATCCACCAACAATGCAGTACCTTAAACAGGGACAGGAGGCCTCACTACCTGACTGTCTCTTATCACGTGATAATCACATAAATCATTCATGTGACAAGAGAACTCCAAGACGAGATCTTTACCGGGCTGAAGAAGAGACAGAGTGCGTCTTGAAAACACCCCAGAGTAGCTAACTTTTGTTGTGTGTTTGGTTATAAATATTTGTCAAAAATAAGTTTATTACAGTACTGTGTCTTGCGACTGCATGTCACCCATCCCAAATGGGCTTATAAGACACCAACAAAAGAAAACATCATAAAAGCAAAAAAAATTTTGAGAAAATTTTGAGACCTCCTGTAGAGTTGTGAGAAGCCCTCGCAGCTCACTGGTGGCTGTGGTCCTCAGGTACTGCTTAAGGCTGTCCAGCAGCATCAGGGAGAAGTGCCTGTTACAGTAGCAGCAGTGCAGCAGCATCTCCACCAGGCTGGAGGGAGGGGTGGAGCCCTGTGTGAACACCCACACAACCTGGAAAAAGAAATACAATGTAAATGGAATTAGTTTGAAGTCATATATGTAGCTGTCGGGATCACTGAAAGGGCCACAGGCCTCTACTCATGGGGGGTATCCAAAGTTCAGCAACTATAGATCACTCATTCATTCACTGTCCAGAATTTGATTACTAGTATTCTGCTGCTGTTGTCCCAGGGACGCAGGGGTCAGCAGCAGTTGGCTAGTAGTACTGGCAGTAATGCACATGCCTTTTGTTATCGGTATTGCACATTTCACTATGAACCCACGTCCCTGAAAAACAAACCTAAATCCTTATGTACAGCCTTGTGACTGTGATCAAAGCTGTACAGACACACACATGTATTTCTAACTACAGCATTCCCAGTTACTCCAAACCTCAATGACAAATCAAATGCAAGTCACGAAATCAAATAATTTTTAGTAGTATGAAGGTATCCTCACCTCATTGACGTAGGCCCTTGCCTGTTCCCCTGATATACAGGCCTGCACAGCTACAGGAGCCTTGATGTACTGTTCTGGTGCTACTATACTGGTGGGTCTGGGGGGGAGGCTGTCTCCTGGATCTGTAAGTAACGCACAGCAGCATAAAGGTTAACGTCATCTGGCTAAGACAAATATGGAGCTCGGTGTCTTCCCCTGCCTGAGACATTGCCAACAACACACCCAATAAGGCACACAAAAACAAAGCAGGGATCAAACCCATAACTTCTTGATCTCCTGACCCCTAACCTAGCCACACAGTCATCATTGCCAAGAAAAGGGGGTGAAACACCAGGATTTTTGGGTTTTCTTTTTATACAACCGGTATATTTCACCTGCTTAGATGTACTTTTCAATGCTTGTGAGAGTCTATATGAGTTGTGTAAAAAGAAAACCTCAATAACTGGGTCTCCTCTCCTCCCTTACTTTGCCCCATGCCCATGCCAGTTGGGCTTACCTTGGGGTAAAAGACCTACTAAGAGATATCCTAATGTTGTACCAACCAGATGAAATAATTCTTGGACATTCCCTTACCGTCGCTCCTTGCGTACGACACATCACAGTGTAGAACGGTGGTAGCCAGTGCCAGGTGCAGCGGCAGCAGCTCGGGGATCTCTCCTGGTGTCCACTTACTGCCGGTGTTTCCCTGCTGGATCTGTGGTCCTGTCAGCAGCAGGCCCAGCAGACACGAGAACATGTTCTGCTGCAGGAGGTGTTCACAGGCACTGGTACCCAGCCGGCCGTACTCATGGAACAGGCTGGGGGGAACATAGGTAAAGTTAGAACATGGAACACTAGGGGCAGGAGGTGTTCACAGGCACTGGTACCCAGCCGACCGTACTCATGGAACAGGCTGGGGGAAAACACAAAGTTAGAACATACATGTACATACATGTACAATCATGTACACTAGGGACAGGAGGTGTTCACAGGCACTGGTACCCAGCCGGCCGTACTCATGGAACAGACTGGATGGGGGAAAGTTAGAACATGATTCAAGGTGTATTTCATTGAACATTACAGTGGGACCACTGAATTACATTCAATCCACAATTAAAGTTATAAAAACTCGGTCTCCTGAGTGGTCGTTTGGCTGTATCCAAAGTATACAGTAAGCTGTAACTACATGTAGCTCTCAAAGGGTCTCATGAAATATTGCACCCTATATCAATAACTTGCAATGACTAAAACATACTCTGTATGGATGATCTTCAATAGACAAACTAACTTAAAGGAGAATTTACGAAAATACAAACAGCACCTGAAGAAGGCATCACTGTTCCTGAGGTTGCTGGCCACATACTGGTTGACCATCGACAGTAGCAGCTGTAAGAGACTGCAACAGCAAGAAAAAAAGTTCAGATATCTACATGCATCATTGCTGTCATGTTGAATCGAGTTTAAACTGTAATGTCCAACACAAGAAAATGTACAAACACAGAACAATCTGCTTGATCCAAACAGATCCAAACAAAAAGCAGATGTCCCACCTGTCACATAGTGAGATGTTCCTCTTGAGACAGACCTCCAGCACAGCGTGGATCAGTGAGGCAAACGTGATGCGGACTTCCCTCGTAGGACACTCTAGTAACAGCGGTCTGGGTACAACAATTGGGCATACGTTATGTTATAAATACATGTACAACAAAAATGCTACAAAGGCAATATTTGGGAGCATTAACAGTGCTCTTCATCTTCATCTTCTGTACCCTCCAACAACCCCGCAAGGGGTATCACTGAGAAGGAAGGAGGTGCGGGGTCCTTATGGCATGCAAGACAGCCCTGAAGGCCTCTACTGAGTGTGCCTGTATGGCCTGTGAGGGCAACTTATTCTATAACATACTTATAGAGCAAGGAGTAATTTGGATTTTGAAAAGATTTGGACCCCTATACTGTTATTTAGCTGCTTACACTATCTTTCAACCAGTGTAGGGGTGTTTCTTTTTGGGGAGAACTCTGTGACTCTTCAAAAAGGAAGATTTGACTTGAGAATGAATGAAACAATAACCAAGGGGAAAGCATAACTTTTCCTCAGATTTTACCAAATCAGTATGGCCTAACTCTTTTGACCTGGACACCCACCTGATGTAGAGCGTTCCCTCCTGCTGACTGACAAAGTTGACCAGGAAGGTGCAGGCCTGGCTGCTGGCCTGGAGAAGCTGCTTCACACAGTCCACCCAGCTGTGCACCTCGGACCGCAGCGCCCCCTTGGTGGTGAAGTAGGTATTGCACAGGAAGTGGAGAGCCAGTTTGGTCCCTGCCACCAGCTCTGCCTCCGTAACCACCTCTCCCTGCTACAGAAACAGTCACAAATTCTCTTATCTTATCCCAGAACTCAGAAACATTGAAAACAAAACCTCTGAAGACAAAAATGCAATGCATTTGCCATTCAGTGTTAAAAATTAGTCCACTACATGTCCTGCAGTCTGCATTTTGCAGAGAGATTTTCAATATTGCAATTTTGCAAACATGCAAATCAAGCTGGCATTTCAATGGTGTTGGCCTCCATGTACGATGTAAATATAGGCACATAGGCATTATCAGGTTGATAAGGTTGTAGTATGGAGGCTTGTACATTTTCAGACAGTATTTCTGAATTGCAGAACAAAATTTTAACATTCTGTAATATTGCAGAACACTGAAAAAAAGCATTTCTACCACTGGTAACTATATATAACATACTAGTACATGTAATGTCATGTATATTGAAATAGTGCTGTAGGCTCACCAGTGGACAGCAGACCAGTCTCTTGATGAAGGAGAAGTACTGTGCACTATAGATGTCCTTGTTCAGCATGAAGCGCAGGTTCTGGGTGTGGACCTCCTGCTGAAGGTCGGGAGGCATGGAGGACTGGAACAGGCCCTGCTGTTCACCCGCCTGGATCAGGGCAGCCAGCTGGGACAGGCTGTCACCTCTGGGCAGCGACCTGAACAGCACAAGGACATTACAAGGTCATTATAATTATTTTAAAATTGTGTTTTATTGCTGCCAAGAGGATACAATCTTTCCAGCAGGGACAGACTGTACCATCTGGGCAGCAATCTGAACAGCAAAAAAGGCCATTAGAAGGTCATTGGTGTCAAATTTCCTGCTGTTCACCTGCCTGGATAACAGCACCTACATGTAGCTATTACAGGCTATCCTATCTATGCAGCAATCTGGACAGCACAAGGAAATTACAAGGTCATTAGTGTCAAATCTGCTGCTGTTCACTTTCCTATAGTTTAGAGTTGGGAAAGAAGTTGGGATAGGCTGTCACCTACATGTAGCCCTACTAGGCGGCAACCTGTCAGTGAATAGCACTAGGTCATGACAGCTGTGACCCCTTTACAAAGAGCACAAGGTTTTTATTTTGGGTGTTTTTTCTTAGAAAGAGAAGCCAACTGCTGACCTTCCATTGGGTTTCCTAACATCCTTGCTGGACGGTGATTTGGGGACAGCTGGGCGGCCATCTTGTCTCTCGTAGAACAGGAGGTAGGCGCTCCAGTACCGCACACGGGTCTCTGGGAAGGAACTCGACGTACTGGTGGCCTGGACAGAATACACCCAAGAAATGAGTGACAGGGACAACACTGCAATATAATTTAATAATACAGTGTATTGCCAAATAGTAAATATTGCCTTAAAGATAAAAGCTGTCTCATAGCCTCATTGAGGCCGTAGGGGCAGAGGGTTGTTAATCCACTGTGTCTAGAGCACAATATTGGAAGGCAGAGCCCATCCCTCTCCTTCCACTGCCTTTTACCTCCTCAACCAAAGTCAGGTACCCATTTTACACCTACTAGAAGTAAGAAAAGTAATGTACATGTAAAGTGTCACAAAAAATGTTTTTTTTTTAGAAATCATAAAAGTGGGGGATTGTTCAACTTCAAGACTGGAGTCCAATTTCTTGTGTTGAAAATTGCAATGACTACATGTAAGTCTTCTACCAAGATTTGTAAATACTCCAGGAATTTTTTGTATCAAGATTACATCTCAAAAGAGAGCAGCTTACCGTAGAGCTGACTTGGAACGTCCCCCCGAAGCACTCCTCCTCCAGCAGCTGATCTGTCAGCTCCACCTCCTCTACTGTCGTGTCGTTAAACTTCAGCCAGTGGCCCTGTCAGGTCAATTCATTCATTTTAACACAAATCATACAGGCAAGGATTGGCTAGCGCACCCCCTGAATTGTGTTTGCTCCAATAAAAATCAAGACAATTTGAACAAACACACTAACTAAAACAGTCATTAATATCATAATTATGAAATCTTGGTACAAGACTTAGTCATTATGAAATAAATGCCAACACTACAATGAATTGGGACTTACCCCAAATTTTCATCTGACCCCGTCAACCTTGTTCACGGAATGGACCCATCTACTCTTGGAATGTGATGTCAGAGAAACATGACTGTAGTAGCGGGTCATACGTGCCAGATAACTTGGGATGTAAATTCATGATTGTAGTGTTGGCAGTTAAAGTTTAGTCTTTATTTCATAATGACTTGTACCAACACAAATGAACTTTCATGCTACAATCATTATCAGTTGTCATTCTCCACCTGTCTGCCAGGCCTTCTGTCCTGTATGAAGGCGTAGTAGTGCCCAGCGTTGGCCTGCCCGCTGTGGACCACCACCCCCACCAGCCGGTACAGCGTCGTCGCTTTGGCGGGCGATCCCGGAGACGTCGGCTCCGTGCACCCCCCCTGCCGCGTGGACTGTTCCACGCCTTCCACTGTGTACGGCGCCACGTCTAACTCCCGCGGAAACTGAAGTAAAAATGAGAAATTAGAGTTTCAGACCTCCTGGAAGTGTTTTGGGTTTAGTTTTTGTGAATGTACTGGAACTGTATTGTGTGATAATGGGGAAAATACCAGTTTGAATTGTCATCATAGAATGTACATGAATTATTAGTAATATACTCACTCTGGTATCACAGATGGTTTATGTTTCATACCATAATTACTTTGTTTTGTAAATGTCAATACCCCAATTCAGCATATGGGCTGCAAGAAGTGTTTGAAATGCTAGTGTAACCTGTAATGTATGTATGAACAAATAAACTTGAATCTAATACACAGTACACATTACTGGTGAATTTAAAAACCATATCCTACAACCCAGGGTAGCCCAATCTCTGACCACTCATTTCCAATCCTTGCTGGTACAGACAAAAATACTCCGTTAAAGCAGTGCTGCCCAAAATATTACAATACTAGTACTTCTGTCCCAGAAGTATTGAAATGTGTGAGGTACTGCATAAACTTGAACTTGGCTTACCCTGAAGTAGTCGTCGAACTTGAGTGCCCTGTTGGCCTCCCAGTCGTAGTCGAAGCGTTTGAGCTGGATGGCGAGGTGAGGCGGCAGCCGCTTCAGACACATCCTCTTCACAGCACTGCGCTTCTCGTTACACTTCTCACACAGGTACGCATTCTCACCTGAACAGGGGGAACAGAACAGTCAACTACCGAAAATAGTTTCATCTGGTTGGTTAAGCATCTCTTAGAATATTAGGGCTGCAAGGGCTACTTCGTACTTTCTTAGACTCTGTTTACATTTTGATGTCTAGGCCTAGGAAAATAAATGTTGTGTTTCCTGTTTCCCGACCGACCCTAAAAAAAAACGCCGACCCTAGCCTTATTTTTGTGTGGACCCCTGCATATTGCTGAACCAAAACATTTTGCACGACGCTACCGAGAGAATCGCTGTCATTGGTGGAACATCGGGCGCCCCGCTAGCGTTTTGAAGTCGTTTAAATAACGCTAATAATTTGTCTGATTTGTTTGTAAAACAAAGCCATCGACTCCGAAAATAAGTTTAAAAGCCGATACATTTACGAAATAATCGTAGAAAATTCCCTACCGTACTGCACCATCAGCATGCGGCGGCCGCAAAAATTCGGCAACGCGAAAGAAAAATGTCTGGTCCATGATAGCAGTATTTCTCATAAAAATAATGTATATGATTTATTTTTCCCCCTTTGTCGGTCTTTTAGTCCCAAAACGTCTAAAAAAGCGGAAATTTGCCCATAAAACCGGACGAGGAAAGGTAGCTATCGACGTAAACAAATTATAAGCACATGGCGAAAATCAGCAAAATCGGCAACGGGACAGAAAAATGCCTGGTCCATTTATCGATATTTACCATGAAAATGTCGTCTGTGGTGTATTTTTCCTCTGATGGGAGTTTTTAGGTCGCAAAACCTCTAAAAAAGCAGAAATTTGCCCACGAAAACGGACTGGCAAGGCATGGGGGAGGGCGCTGTTGACGCCTGCATGACCCCCAAAGGTTGAAGGTCATAGGGCACGTCCATTGCGCAATAACCTTAAATCGCCGATTTAGCTAATTTTTTTTGGGTTTAGACATAGTGTGATTGATACAATCACACTATCGATTTTTAGGCAAACAAAGGGATAGAAACCAATTAAAATTTTGTGCAGATTAATTTTTTTTTTCTTTAGAATTCTTTTTTGTTTCTTTTTTTTCTCCCAAATCCCTGGTAAAACCCTGAAAACCTGTAGACTTGAATCAGGACCTGAATCTGAATTTAGCCCTGCAAGGGCTAGGGACATCTGTTAAGTTCTTCGAGCTGATCGACCGTTTAAAGCTCCATGATCTGACACCTGAGTACCTGAGTGATGAAATATAATATTGCACAATCGATTTTTCATCATGTTCTGCTTATATAAACACAGCAATCAGCAAAGTCTAAAAAAAAAAATAAAAAATAAAAATAAAATAAGATAATCCCTACCTACCGACCCTAATTTTTTCTGGACTGAAACAGGAAACACAACATTTTTTTTCCTTGGCCCTATCAACTTCTTCAGAGCTTCTGACTGCAGTACTGTTTCTTGTCACTAGATGTAGCCAATCATTGCAGGAGAGAGTCTATACTGGTTGCATAAAAAGAAACCCTGCATCTCCCATTCCCTTGTTTGCACCTATATTATAGTTATTAGCAATGTGCAACTTCTAGTAATCTACTGTACTTGCAGGCTTAGCAGAATATCCTGCTTTCAAAAACAGATCTCATTAGAAATGGGTACTGACTCAGAATAACATGTACAAATGTAAGAACCTAGTACAAAACGCCTGAAAGTCGTGAACATATCAGGCCTACCTTCCAGTATCTCCCCGCGTACAAACTGCTCGAGTGACTGCTCGAGCGTGGGCTGTTTGACGGTGACGTTGAGCGCCATGAACTCCTCCTCCTGCTCGTAGCGGTGCGGACACTCGATGCAGATCTGCTGGTCACTGAACACCCCCTGGAACTTGGACTTGAACAGCTCCTGTTTACCCAGCTTCTTCAGCACGGTGTCAACCTGGGGGAAAAGGTGAACAAGAAAATCAGAGATTTCAGACTTCCCTGCACCCAGTGCATTGAAGCTGTGCGGCAGCACGCCGTGCAGCGACAGCTGGCTACAATTATACACCAAACGACGTGTTACACCCAGCCTTTGAATATCTAGACCAAAGCATTGTTTAAAGCTATCTAGTGATGATGCCCCTACTGTAGTTGGTGGCTGTGACTTCCACTTTACATTAGTTCTAGGAAAAAAACAGTTTTTGAACACCTCAATCCTTGGTTGATAGCTCTGGTACTTGAAGGCATGACTATTAGTGTGTCGCAACTATCAAAAAACTCGAGGCAAGTAACCCCAGAAAAAAAAAGTGTTCATACCTGGTCTGTGAGGTTGGTGAGGAACTCGAAGGCGTCCTGATGCTCCCTGACGTTGATGGTCTCCCCCCAGAGTTTGAAGGAGTTCCAGAAGGTGTCAGGAGTGTAGTACTGCACCATGCTGCCCTGTAGGTGTGCCATGATACGCTGGGCCTCGTGTAGGATCCCGTCTGATGCACTCTGCGAAGACGATTCCACTCCCAACAATTGCTAATTAAAAAGAAACAGAACATGGTAACTGTTACACATCTCTGTAAGGGAAAAAATGCTTTGTTTCGTAAAAGCAAGGCTGGGAAGGGAAATTTCATCCAATGTCCTCAATGAGTGAAATAACATAAAATCACATGGCCTATGGCCTTGCCAGCAGTCAAACAGAAAAAAGGATGTAGATTGGGTTGGCAGGGTTTTGCTAGGGTCAGCCAGGAGACTTGAAAAAATACAACATTTTTTCCGAGGCCTAATTTGGGATCTGTATAGCACCAGAACTTCTATTTTGAATGTACAAAGCTGTAACAGACACACGAACCTCTGGAATGCCTGGGGTCATGAAGAGCTGCTGCAGTACCGAGTTCATGTAACAGGTGGCGCCGCCGTTCTTAAGCCCCACATATCCACAGCCTGCTCGTCCATCCACCAGGGGTAAATGCTGGAGAAAATAACAATTGTTACCGTGAGGTTTTTGAGTATTTTAGTCAGAGAAATTCCATACTATACAATAATATACATGTACCTGGAGTGAGAAAGTGGACTGATTTTATCCCCAGCATTTACATTAGACTACCATCAACAAGCATCCTAACTCATTTCGTCTAGGAAACAAAAGTACTTTTGAGACAGTGGCCTAACAGGTATTTGTGGATTTTTGTTTACTGCAGTGATGACTTGAGTTGCTACCACCTGCAAAATGCTGAATAAAGAAATTTCCAGCTTGATGCATAATCTATTTTTCATGCAGAGCAGAGCACCAAATTTGTCTGGTGCAGATAATTTCCAATGCTACACGTTTTAGTGTGGGTATGCAAAAAAAAGTATTAGAAGGCTAAAGACAATAAGGGTAAAATGTCTGGTGCTGGTAATTTTCAATGTTACACCAGTGCAGGTATGAAGAAAAAAGTATATTTTTAACCCTGCAACAAGGACACATGTACATTTTGTACAATGTCTAACCAGGAATACCAGGCATCAAAACCTGAGTCCTCTCGATCTTGTGTCTGCTAGCCTTAGTAGTACAGGCTAAACAAGTGGTGCAACATGGATGGAAAAAGTATATGGAGCCCTGGGATATGGATTCCAGACTACAGAAGTGTTTTGTTATGCAGCATGATTAAACTGTAATTTCCAACACAAGAAATTGGACTCACCCAAATTTTTGACCGTACAACTCCAGTCTTTGTCAAGGAATGAACAATCCACCACTTCCGTGACGTTTCGAAAATCAAAAATTTGGGTGAGTCCAATTTCTTGTGTTGGAAATTACAGTAAATTGTTTAATCTTGCTGCATAATGACTTCTACCAACACAGATGAACTCTCAACATAAGAAGTGTTTTGTACCTCCCACTCCCTCTTGTGTGTGAGTTGTGGCTGGTGGTGCATGTTGACCAGCTGTGAGGTCATGTCCTGGAGGTTCTCCCCACACCCCTCACATAGGATCACCAGCAGGTCATACGCTACCTGCAGGCAGACAGCCCAGGAAAAAGATAATGAATAAATACATGAATAAAACTTTGTCCAGTTGGTGAGTCAATGAACATCTAATATAAGTTCTTTATTCAAAACCACTCTCATCTTGTTTGACAAGAGCCAATGTTTCCATAACCATCTGTCATATTCATCAGGGCAACTTTGACTAACCCTAACCCTAACTCAAGGCCCAACTTTTGGTCCATATCCAAATCCTTTAGACATTCTAAAACATTTGGCTGATGCAGCCGAACAGTAGCTAACCTTGCCAAACACCAGCTAACCACAGTTGACCTTGCTCCCGAAGTACTCCTAACCATAGTAGGGGACAGTTCAGTGGTGTTCAGGATGCCATATTCAGCTACATGTACATGTAAACAGGGCATTAAGGTTTGATCCAGCCCACCAGACGTACCCACCTGCCGACAGGAGTCGCTGTGACACTTGGACTTGAGGGAGGAGTCGTGTTCCTTTGCTGTCCCCTGGGCGGCTGTCTGCGCAGCTGTCCCACGGTGGGCAGCAGGGAACAGCAGCTGTTGCAGGAGGAGCCTGTTCAGGGAGAAACCTGGGGGTGTGGAAGGAACAGCAACAATGATATTAACAAACATACATGTAATGAAAAAGTGGGACATGATGTCTTCCATGGCTTACACAAAAGAACATCTTTTTACACAATTTACCTCCTAGACTGAGGATTAGCCATTTTATATTCCTTTTTGTACATTGTGTCATTGTTCCTACTGTATGTCTTTGTTACTTGCAATTAGTCCTTAGGCATGAACTGACAATCAACTTATAAGACCTTCATATGAAACTGTATGATATGTAGCAGTACTAGTACAGTAGTTGCCATAATTTGTACATTGGGCTACATGGGGGTGCTCACGCTCACTTCACCTAGAGTCACTCTATGTCTGACTGACAACCAAGGGAATGCAGAAAGACAACTGTTGTGCAATCACATGTAAGCCCTAGTGAGAACCCTACAAGACTGACCGATGTCTGCTCTGTCCACTCCTGGCTTCTGACACAGGGTCTTGATGAGCCGGAGATGACCGGTCAAGAGCACATCATCTGCGTCCGCATAGTCGTCCGATTCCGTCGGCTCGAAGTTGTTGAGCCAGTCCAGTTCTGACTGCAGCAAACTGGTTGTGTTCAGCCCTATCCCGTGGAGGTCATCCGAGTCCATCCCCTGCACTAGCTTACACACCAGCCTGAAGTAGTGCTCGCTCTGGCATAGAAGTCGGAAGGCAGCCGTTCGTACATACGATGAAGACGTCCACAGGGGTACGTGCGCTTGCTGGAGTATCCTGAGCAGGAACTGTTTGGGGGTGGCGGTGTTGTTGTCCCCATGTTCTACCGTGCTTCGGATCTTGCTCAGGGAGTACAGACTGTGGGTAGCAGCTTCCCGGACCTGTAGTTGTGAACATTATTCACTGTCATGTTGATTTTCAAATACAATTATTGTCTTCAGTGCCCACAACCAAATCAAACCCATTCTGCAATTTACTGTAGACGTACAAAAAATGTAGGTATAACAGTAGTATGCTTGTAGCCTTTTTATATGACATACAAATTTGGAGTTTGAGTTTTTTTTCCTTCAGTAAACCATCAGTTTTGTATTTATGGTAAGGTTGAAGGGACGGATGTGAACATGGTAGGAGTTGGTACTGGGAAAAAAAAGGGCATCTTCAGGGTGTCCTCCAAAAAAGGAGGGCGTCCAATTTCTTATCATTTTCAGTACAGGGTGTCCAAAAGATCCCCTGGACACCCCCTAGCTAAAAGCCTGCTACTGGTACTACCTTTGGGCTTGCGGAGGCCAGTAAGACGTCGACGATGAAGTCTTGCAGGAACTCCCAGGTGTAAAACTTGTCCAGGTCGTGAGTGCGGAGGTGCAGGCACGACACCAGCAGGTCCATGGCTGCCGCCGCGATGGTGGCGTCCTGGCTGGACACCGCGTCGCCCGAACATATACTCACGTGGGACAGCCCACCGCTACGCTTCCGACCTGGGGTGCCTGGAACACAGGATAAATAATTTGGTTGAATACAATATTCAGTAGGGTTGTGTACCCTACAGGGCTCGAAATATTGGGTTCGTAATTTTGTACCTTAGCGCAGGTAAAATTGAAGCTGTGAAGGTACTTCAGATTGTATGATCCATCTATATTTATAGTTTTTAGTGTGATCCATACTTCTCAAAGTCAAGTAAAATTTGTCTGGTGCAGGCATACAGAAAAAAGTATTTCAAGCCCTGTAATACCTGTACCTGCATCTGTATGACTATTTACTAGGTGGCACGTCAACAGAATGTCAATGAGAGGGATGGGCTCTGCCTTCCAATACCATGCCCTTGACACAGTTACAGTAACTGTAGATAACATAGGAGGCCCCTACGGCTTTAGAAAAGGCAACCAGACTACCTTAACCTTAATCTTACAAAAGGAATGGTTTATAGTTTGATATACAGTAACACATTCCCTATCTACCCCTACCTTGTGTGTTGGCTGGTGCGTACGGTGCCAGGTCCAGTCTGCCCGCTGCCGCCGCCCAGGCCAGTCCCACCAGGCACTGTAACAGTTCCCTGAACCCCTCCTCTGTCATGTCCAGCACCTGTCAACACGTGGACACAAGACAAACATTCTGTAACCAGTCACACTGAAGAACACCTCATGTATGTATGAATTAGGGGGGCTTGCCACAAGGTTTTGTACGTTTTATGTTTATCAAAAACATATTGTTTTTGCTACGTTTTCTCTTCTTCTGTTTCAAACACTGACCTCTGACCTGGCCAATGACCTGATTTGTTGACGTCTCTCACCATGGTATATATAGTGTTACGTTACATCATGATTGTTGCAATTTTATAGTAAGAGGGGTTATACTCCAGTTTGACTATATATACGAATGTGTTTCTCAAATTAACAGAGCAGAACACATGCAAAGGTGAACATTTATGCACCTTTGTTTTTGTATGTTATATTTCTTCAATAAAGGAAAAAAAATCCAGCACCTGTCTGCTGGCCTCCTTCCACGCTGCCGTGTACGCGCCCTCGTTCTCCGAGTCCGTTGCCACGGCGACGGGTGACATCGCCATTGCGCCCGGCGACGGCGCGCCCGGCGACATGGCCTCCTGTTCCGGGGTGGAGGCGGACTGGCGACGGAGCTTCACGGGCGTCGCGCCGCCCACGGATTCGGAGCTGACGTCACGCGATGGCTTTCCACCGAGCAAAAACCTGGGGCAACAAGAAATCAGAGACTTTAGACTTCCAGGTTGTAAGATGATGAATACCAACATCCGAGTCAGTTACTCAAATTTGAAAAGCAGCACATGCAAAACATGATTTATTAATTTATAATTATTAATCTATTAATTTCTACAGAACTTTTGAAATCCCGTGTGATAACCATTAGAACCCCGTGTGATACTGCTAGTTATCACATGGGCCAGAACACCTGTAAACAAAATTATCATGGCCCAAGTATAACATATTAAATAGACAACAGACACTGCACCTGGTCAGCTGCAGGCAGGTGTTGAGGCAGCCGCGGCGCGCCTGGATCACCATGTCAGCGTCCAGACCGTCCTTACTCAGCAGACAGAAGAGGAAGTCCAGCCCGCCGCCGCGCAGGAAGTTCTGGCAGAACTGCTGGACGTGCAGGATGGCGCTCAGACCCTCGTCTTCATCGACTGGCATTACATGGCCACTCAGCGCCTGTTCAACAACATGCCATTAACATTATTACAACGTCCAACTATCATCAACTATAATTATGGTGACTGTCGCTCCCAACATTTTCAGCCGGTATAACTGTCCTTCGGTGTAAAGCACCAGCTTCTCACACCATTCGAACATTAGACCAATCCTGATTGGACATGTCGAACAACTGACACTGATATGTTCTATTGACATGCTGATATGTCCTAATCTATTCCGAACACCTCTGTCAAAATAGCCTGGAATCCATCAGTGAACGATTGTCTCTGCTCCCCCGCTCTGCCTTTGAAGCATTCACGGATGGATTCCAGGCTATGGTCAAAATTCTCTGTGAAAATGTACCTGCAGGTTATAGACCAATCGGAGAGGAGAGATCTTGGGCGCCTTCTGTCCGATGAGCAGCTCCAGGGCGGCGGACAGCACCGCTCTGTTCTCCTCTTTCACCGGCTGTTCACTCAGGCTGTCCAGCGCTGACTGCACTGTCGGGTCGGTGGGCAGCAGCAGCAGCAGCTGGTACACACACTCCTGGATGCTGGCCCCCTCCAGCTCAGCTGTGTTGTACAGCAGGTCGTAGATGCCGGCCTGTCCTGACAGCACCATGCTGCGAAAGTGTCAAAGATAATAAAATAGTAGGTTTATATTCAATTACGTAGTTTACATGTATGTTAACACACTGTCATGCATTCCCAGCTCGGCTGTTGTACAGAAGGTCATAGATGCTAGCCTGTCCTGACAGCACCATGCTGCGAAAATGTCGAAGATACACAGTGATATACATGATGTACATGTATAATCATGGAATATATTGTGATTTACCGGTACAGTATATGGTAACACACACACACTCCTGGACGCTGGCCCCCTCCAGCTCAGCTGTGTTGTACAGCAGGTCGTACATGTTGATGCCATCCTGTCCTGACAGCACCATGCTGCGAAAGTGTCAAAGAACTGATACAGGTCTGTATTTGTCAACTAAATGACTATAAACTGGTGGACGTCCCAACTACTAAGTACCTAATACCAGCCCAGAAGAGAACAAGAAATAGCCATGCCTTCAAGTACCAGAGTTATCAACCAAGGATGAGAGGTGTTCAAGAATAATTATTCATTCTTTCCTAGAAATATCGCAGAGTGGAACTTGCTGTCACCAAGTACAGTATGGGCATTGTCAATAGATAGCTTTAAACAATATTCAAGGGTTAGGTGCTGCTGTGGCACGTGCCTGCAAAGCTGGTGTGTTATGCCGGCTATACAGATAAAATCAAATAAATTTTAAAAAATGCTTTTAATTCAAAATTAATGCTTTTACATTGAAAATAAACCCTCGCTGAACCATGACTGCGATAGATTCCGGCTTCCCGTTACTTTTGATTAACTCCTGACGTCATCAAGCTCCTGACTTCCAAGTCAGCGAGTGCATCACACATCTGACGAAGGTTGGCACGATTGACTAAAAATTTAGTAATACATGTATGGTGATCTCACTCTTTCTGTTGCATCAAAGGTCAAACTCTATAACTTTAAAAATTAAAGCTCGTTGAAATGAGAAAGTGGAATTCTAAACTTTAAAAAAGTGGAGGGTGTTAATATTATGTATTAATATATATCTTTGTTTTGGTAATATATTTTCATTTTTTAAAATATTGTTCTTCTGTTTGAAAAAAAGCACTTAGGCCATAATGACAATCATGATTTAAAAATATAGATTATTGCACACACTAATTTTCAATGAGTTCCATTAATTTTTTGCCGTTTGCAGAAAAATGATTTAATTTCTTCTACGAGAGCAAAATGTATCCGATCAGCAAAATGCAGACTGCAGGTGGGCATTTCTGAGACCCAAGGACTCCAATCCCATAATGCATGTGGCTCAGACTTAAGTATTTAATATAAGCTTGTATATTCAAGCAAACGTGTGTGTAGACATTATATCCAGAACATAAACATCTAAGGCTCAGTGTGCGTTGCAGCAGAAATCTGTGACCACCATGGCGCAAAACAAGGCACTGCTGTACTTCCTACTCCTGGTTTCCAATCAGCTACTGCTCGTGTCGGCGCCAGCTTTACGGTGCCCTGACAGCTGTCGCTCCCAAACCCCACATGTCTAAAAGAGTCATCTGTCGCTGTCCAGATAAAAACTGGGCTGGTTCCCCCTGCAGCTGGATTGGGTACGGAGGAATGTACAGCTTCCCCGCATGTCTCGACGCCATACCAACCGGCTTTGTCAAAGCCACAGTGTCGATCTTCATCAAGCATCTCCGGTCCTCTACCATTTTGGAGCGGTCTTTCCCCAACAGCCCAGAAGTATCCAGGATTTGGATCCAGGAGTCCAACGTGTCTACGATTCAGCCAGGGGCTTTCCAAGGTCTGCCACTGGTGAAAGTCCTTAACCTCTACGACAACCGTATCTCCAGTCTTGGTATGTTGACAAAATGCGTATTTTGGGCTCCTGATATTTGTTTTGTTACACAAGTGTTGTGTATAATATTACAATTATTATGAATCCTAAATGACATCACTACATCACTGAATCAGATGTCTGATTTAGAAACATCAGATTATAACCTACATGTAAAATGACTGATACAATGATCTATAATGTATTGTTATTAGGCCCCTTCCCCACTAGGATAAATTTGTACTGGATCGAGCCGAATAGATTAGCTAACTAAAGCTAACAATCTGCCACCAATATCTGGCTCAGCTACAATCCACCTGGCTAGGAGGATCGTACAAAATGTGGGAATGTTCCCACTGGGGTAAAGTTGACCAGATTGATACATATAATACATATTAGGCAGATACAAAAAGGAATAAAATAATTATAAACAATGTACGTCTGTACATGTACCAGTCCTTTGTATAATTACCAGTCGTGAGATTAGTAGTATACATAATAATAACTTAATCTTGATAATCACCATGCTACAAAAAATCCCTGCAAACTTACAATATTCTGTTTTGTTTATCTCCAGAACCCGATACCTTCCTTGGGCTTGAGAGGGTAACAAACCTGTACCTTCATAGGAACGCCATTTCCGTCATATCCCAGCATGCATTCCGCGGCCTGCCTCTCCTGACCCACTTGAAGTTGGACGAGAATCTTCTGCGTTCCGTGCCCGTCGACGCACTCCTGCCGCTTACGGCACTGAAGTTTGCAAGCCTCCAAACAAACCATATCACCACGATCGACAGCCAAGTCCTGCGTCTGAGCCACAACCAGGCCCTGCAGCTTTTCCTCGCAAAAAACAAGCTGAAATGTGACGCGAATCTCACCTGGTTCATCTGTCATCTGCCAGAGTTGGATCACATCTACGCCCGTGACTTCCTGAAGTGTGCGTCGCCTGCCAACCTGAGCGGAATTCTGCTTGCCACCGTGAGGAAGGACATCAGATCGGGGAGATGTGACAAAACGCCCACCACAACAGGTCCGCATACCCACCATACCAGTCATCTGTACAATGACACCATTCCCACAGAAATGCCATACACAAACGCCACAACCGAGTACCAGGCCACAACCGTAGCTGACATTGTCACTCATCCAAGTTTCAGCCCAATCCTCACCGAGGAAGATAACAGTTACCACGTCAATGCCATCATCCTGGCTGTTGCTGTGCCCCTCCTCATGGTGTTGGCATGGGTGGTTGTCGTCTGCCTGTACGAACGCTGTCATGGCACAGGTCTGGCCCCTCGCAACGCCCCTGCTGAACCAGATGGAAACTCCGCCCCTTCGGACAGAGACTCAGTCACAGGCGGACGACCGAGTCCTGTTGAGGACCAGACATCAGAGGGTAACGATGACATTGAGCCGTACGCTGTGTCATACATGGATGTGTCGGGGAAGGGGAAAAACGGCAAGCTTGCGCCGTACGCAACAACTTCCTTTGCTAACATCAAGCCAAAAGAACCAGACAACGATGACATCCAGCCAATTGAAGACAACGATGACATTGAGCCGTACGCTGTGTCATACATGGATGTGTCTGGGAAAGGGAAAAACGGCAAGCTTGCGCTGTACGCAACAACTTCCTTTGCTAACATCAAGCCAAAGGAACCAGACAATGATGACATCCAGCCAACGGAACCAGACACCAATGACATTGAGCCGTACGCTGTGTCATACATGGATGTGTCTGGGAAAGGGAAAAACGGCAAGCTTGCACCGTATACAACGACCCTCATTAATGAAGACCAAGGGCCTCAGCTTCAGCCATATTCCGTGACCCACGATGAAGACCCAGGCCCACAGCTTCAGCCATACGCAGTGACCCACGAAGAAGACCCAGGGCCACAGCTTCAGCCGTATTCTGTGACCCACGATGGAGACCCAGGGCCACAGCTTCAGCCATATGCAGTGACCCATGATGAAGACCCAGGGCTGCAACTGACAACAAACGCCACACATCCAGTCACTCAACCAAGGGGCCAGCCACTGCCACGAGGCCATACACTAGCAGGCTACATGTCACTGACAAATGTCACTAACCAACGGACAACTAACAACACTCATCCAGTCACCCAACCAAGGGGCCAGTCACTGCCACGAGGCCATACACTAGCAGGTTACACGTCACTGACAAACGTCACTAACCAACAAGCAGCAAACGTCACCCAACCAAGGGGCCAGCCACTGCCACGAGGCCATACACTAGCAGGTTATATGTCACTGACAAATACCACTAACCAACGGCCAACAAATGTCACACAACCATCCACCCAACCAGGGGGCCAGTCACTGCCAACAGAGGCCAACATCAAGCCAAACTACGAGAGAGGCTGTCCGTCATCAAGAGACGATAGAGGTCCTTATGGACTGGATGAGGGGAAGGAGGTCCCAAGTGTCAGTGGAACACTGTACAGGAGTGGCTCACAGCATACTGGTGCAGAGGACAGCACATCTCACAGGCTGTACAACACAGCTCATGGACAGAATGAGAGCAAGAACAGCACATCTCATAGGCTGTACAACACAGCTCATGGACAGAATGAGAGTGAGAACAGCACATCTCACAGGCTGTACAACACATGTACAGCTCACGGACAGAATGAGAGTGAGACCAGCACATCTCACAGGCTGTACAACACATGTACAGCTCACGGACAGAATGAGAGCGAGAACAGCACATCTCACAGGCTGTACAACACATGTACAGCTCACGGACAGAATGAGAGCGAGAACAGCACATCTCACAGGCTGTACAACACATGTACAGCTCACGGACAGAATGAGAGCGAGAACAGCACATCTCACAGGCTGTACAACACAGCTCACGGACAGAATGAGAGTGAGAACAGCACATCTCACAGGCTGTACAACACAGCTCACGGACAGAATGAGAGTGAGAACAGCACATCTCTGTATAGTGGATCATCCTTAGACCCTTAGCTGCCTAGAGATGTATTGTCATCTTATTTCATTGGCATTTTAGAAATCTATTATAGTATTTTTAATTGTGGCATCATCATTTTATTAAAAATTTGCATGTGCTATGTTTGCCTATGGTGTGCCTATGGCTGCGAGGTGCAACATACTCTAGTGTGTAACAACAGGATTGTTTTTTCACTTGTGCTTGACTGAGAAATTAACCATTGGAAGTTACAATTTCTTCATCAATTCAGAATCAGATTCAGGAAGTTTGTCAGACTATTGACTTAAGTTAGTTAAATGAAACAAACTGTAAAATGGATGTACCATTAAATACAAGTTAAAATAATTTCTGCTTTAGAAGTCTGAACAGACCCCACAAGCATATACCACTTCCAAACTGCATCGTTTTGATCCAAGCCCTAGGCCCTTGATGAAAAAGTGCCAGAGGAATTCTTTCTCCATCTTGCTTTTATCTAAAATGAGTCTCATACAGGCAAGACGGAGAAATAATCCCTTTGGCATTTTTCATCAAAACATGTATGCCATGTATTCCCCTGAAGCACTGAGAGCTTGGATCAAAGAGATGCCGTTTGAAAGCAGTGTGATTAATTTCTGAGTGTTTCTGGCTGTTTCACTGGAAGTGTTGAATATTAAAAGCTTACCGGTAACCCAAAATTAATGCACGCTCAACAGACAGCTAATGATTGTACCCAGAAGTAGTTTTGAGATTTATCAATCTTGGTGTATTTTTTCCCTATAGTATATGAAAATATTTATTACATGGTTCACGATACAAAAAGTATAAGTTGCATGCCCAAGGAGTACAAATTGAATGTATTATGCAACTCATCAAGGTTGTTGTGTCTTGTACTTAGAAAAGTGACAATAATAATGATGAGTATTGAAAATGTCTGTGTATTAAGTAAAATGTACAAAAATGTTGAACAACTGAGTTATATGAGATTCTTTATTCATGTTTCAACAACAACTAACAACTTATTACATTGTATTTGTACTGATTATAATAATTATAATGACAACACTTTCAGGGCTCGAAACACTTTTTTCTGAATACCTGAACTGGTGCAGTGTGTAGAGTAGCAAAGGAGTCCCACTCAACTGTCATACCTTCAATATTGTGAATATTAATATTGGTTATATGAATAAAGAAGTGGAAACTGGAAAGATAACATTTGTTTTCCTTCACCTGCTGGTCTGGCCCAACAAAATGCTAGACACTGTTTATCCTTACTTACAACATGTAAATAAATTCACATGACTGTATATGGTAAGCAGCCTCTCCAACTTTCTGCTACATAAAGTAATCAAACACCACATGGTATCTGCATCTGTATTAGTATAGCCAGTATAACTGCCCTTCGGCGTAAAACACCAGCTACAGCACCAGTTACCATGGTGACAGCTGTCTGTTCCAGGTCATTGACTTTATTTGTTTGGAACAGAAGAAAAAGAAGAAACCAAGCAAAAACAACATACACACATGCACACACACACACACACACATAATTATAAAACGTAAAATTATAAAGGTAAAATTAACCTTCTGCAAAGGTAAAATTAACCTTCTACGAAGGTAAACATAAGAAAGAACAAACCTTGGTAGTTGTTTCTCCTGGTCGCTGGTGTAGTGAGGGGAGCTGACCATGGCCTGTTTGCCCCTTGACCTCCAGCTGTCCAGTGCGGGGGTTCCGCAGGGCAGCATCTTCACAGACAAGGTCATGCCGTCCTCAAAACTCAGCTGGTGCAGCAACTTCTGGTCCTTACCCCACAGCAGCTAGAAACCAACCAGAACTCAGAGATTTCAGGGAACCTTTTATTTAATTTGTGACCTTCAAATTACCCGCATTTCCTGTATCTGACCTTTTTGATTCTGTCAATCTATCAATCTTCCCCCTACTAACACACAAACCCATAGCTCAGCCACCCAAAACATTATGTCCGCACCTGGAAGTAAAACGCTGTTAGTAAGTTTACGTAGTATTTGTCTCACAAGACGGTGTGGGTGATTTTGCATGGCTGGAAGTGTTAAATAATCAATGTACACATAGAAGTACATTGATTACAGATTCTGAAGTACATGTACAATTTGTTGATTTGTTTATTTGTACAATGTACATTTCCACTCACCGTCCTATCATTAACAGCGATCTGTACATAATCTGGCGGGTGGTTGACCTCCACCGCAATCTTATGTCGTACACTTCCTAACCTCTCGTTGCTGTGCCCCTGAAAAGGAGAAAAATTGCAGCTGTTGTTGTCTGTCTAGTTCATATCCTAAAGTTTCACCACAGGCAATTCCGAGAAAAATTAATCCTTGTCCTGCTGGCATTTTTTACGTCAATATTTTTCAATAATTTCATGTCTTGATCAGGTTTATATATATATATACACCTGACTTTTTTTGCCCTGTGGTGGTATAGTTATTTCCGCATTTGTTGCGTTTTGCTGCGGTGTGATGCTTCAATCTTACCTAAATATACAGGGTGCTATATGGATGGTACTGTATGTGCAACCAAACACCTGTTGGGCACCGCAGGACTAAGGTTTAACATGTACAAGGATCCATTTTTGTACCTTGATGTCGAATATTCTGTTGCTGGTTTCACAGGAGACGTGAAGAGACAGCGGCTGGCCGCGGAACGCTGCGCCATGTGAGAGAACAGTCCGGCTCACGCACTGCTGATCCTCCACTGTGCTGATGTACCGATGCACGATCAGCAGAATACGCTCCACAGCACGCAACTGTACTGTCCTGGGGAGACAAACAACATTTAACTTAATTCTAACACAATCAGGGTTCTCCCCAAGCAAGAAAGCACAGGTGCTCTCCCTCTCCCCCAAATCCTAGCACCTCTCCCAAAATGTTCAAATTTAGAGTTTTCTCTAAGTATTGAATTTCTATAAAACTGTGCTGATTTTTCATCAACCGATCACCTCTCCCATCTGAACTTCTTGGGAGACCCCTTCAGTAACCTGATTTATATACAGTAACTACTTTTGAGGACTGGTGATGCATGATGTAAAAATGACTAATAGTAATAAATGACTGTACCAACTACTTTGTAGTACTTTTAATACCTGCTCAGAAAAGAATTATTAAGAAATAGCAGACTGCTGTATTTATTACCTCTACAATCAAAGTACTACACCTGGGTGGAGAGTGGAAACTTTTTTTGGCCAAAAATGCCAGGACTCAAACCCATGACCTCTTGATCTTGTGTCCGCTAGCCTAGCTTCTTGGCCATACAGCACCACAAAAACACTGTAGACAAAGTCCTACCTGGCCATAATTGGGTCAGACGCCATCTGTGGAACAGTGTTCGCTGTCAATGCTGTTGTAGCAGACGTCACCGCTTTAGCGATGGCAGACTCTCCCAGAGCTGACTGTGCTGCCTGTTTCGGAGGAAAAATAAAGTAACCTTTGATTACAGCGAAATACATTAATAACAAAATCTTAATGGGACAAAATAGAAAGAAGCAATATACAATATCATGGTTAACTGGTGATTGTGTTTAAGAGCAAAATTTATAACTTACCAGTAGTCTTTTCTGGCATTCTTCAAAGAACTTCTTATGGACAGTTAAGGGTTCCTGACACAAGGACACAAACAGTTGCTTGTGATGAGTAAAAAGCAACACTTACAATAGTAATTACTAAAGTAATTAGTAGCAATTTACTTTTAAATCTACCCAGTTGCTTTAGTAACAATACCCTTGTGTATTTTAATATACCTGGATGTCTAACCTTCATTAGCCTCAATTCCAATGAGGGACAAGAAACAAAGTGATACAAATTCTGAACTCTGATCCTGTGCTACCCAAAACAATACTTTCTTCCCCCGAAGTGGGGTCATGTGGCGCAATGGCAGAGTACTCAACTCGGAACCAAGAGGTCCCAGGTTTGAGTCCTGACCAATCTTGTGCCCTTGGGAAAGCCACTTTACACGACTTTCCTCACTTAACTCAATTGAAAATGAGTACATGTATTGTCCTGTCCTGTATTTGTTTCCATGTGTGGGACACGTGTATAATTACATTGTTACAATTTCCTAGAAATCAAATCAAATCAAAACCAGGCTCCTGCCATATCCAGACCTTTTTGAGCTTGGGAGCGAGGTTTGTGTAGGAGTATCTGATGAGCATACTGATGGCCAGGTCTGCCACCTCATCCTGCACACTCTCCAGCCCAACCCTCCACACATAGTCCAGCCCCAGGAGATCCGACTTCTCCACTTGCTACAGAATGTACAACACAAACAGGCTGAGTGGGGTATTTCAGGAATAAACAAAGACTCAAACAAAATTGAACAGACAAACAACAGGAGACACAAACAGGCTGAGTAGAGTTGATGATAGTAAAACTAGAAATATCTTTGACAATGTGTCTTTCTCTTTGGTAAAAGTCATTATGAAGCAAGTTTAACTGTAATTTCCAACACAAGAAATTCGACTTATCCAGATTTTTGACACAGAAGAGGTGAATTGTTCATTCCTTGACAAAGACTGGAGTTATACAGTTATACAGTTGTAAATTTGTGTAAGTCTAATTTCTTGTGTTGGAAATCACTTGCTTCATAAATTATCTGGCCTCACACACTCTCACAAGTAAGCAGAGACTTCTGTACTATGATGAAGTTTTGGGCCAAACCTGCAGTTTTCATGATCAAATTACATTCATGAAAAAAAAAACGTACCAGGATGGAAACAAGTTTTCTCAGCCCATGTTGCTCTTCATTCACACTTTCAAAAAAGGACTGGAAACACTGGAAGCCTGGAATACATAAAACAACATACATCAAGACAAAAGCAAAGTCAAGCTATTATTGCATATAATACAGAAATTTTCAAAGAACAGAAAGAAACAACTGGATATTCACCTGTGGTGGTCAGCTGAGTAGGAGGTACTTTGAACAATCTCTCCTTCAATAAGTTCATCTGTGTACAAAAGATCATACGAAAAAACACATACTTTAGGAACACTTAAGACTGTATAATGGCTTAGCCAGGGCTGCCCAACTACAGTAGCCTGTGGCTATTGGAAAGGGCTAGCCCTGCTGACAATGATTACAATGGAGGAATCTATATTATTCTAAACCACATGTAGGTACATACTATTAGATGCATTGTATAAAATGCACTAAGACATAGTAGTGTCTGTGATGGAATCTAAGTGGAAAGGTCAGGGCCAGTGCACACACATGTTAAGTACAGGTGTATAACTATAACCCACCTATTGTTCTGGCTAATGTTGGAGTATGTTTTAATGATACAGTACCTGAGGTTCTGGCTCGAGGTCGTTGAGCCTCCCCTGCAGCCATCTCCGGCAGAGCTCCCTCTCCTCCTGGCTGTTCAGATACAGGTACAGACCTGTCCTGAACCCCTGTACCCATACCTGTACCTGATGTTACATTTAACTACGCAGCCTACCCACCTGAGGTTCCGGCTCGAGGTCTTTAAGCCTCCCCTGCAGCCATCTCCGGCAGAGCTCCCTCTCCTCCTGGCTGTTCAGATACAGGTACAGACCTGTCCTGAACCCCTGTACCCATGCCTGTACCTGATGTTACGTACAGGTATGCAATCCTTAGGAACCCACCTGTGGCTCTGTCTAATATTGGAGTAGATACGGTACCTGTGGTCCAAGCTAATATTAGAATACTGTACAATACATGTAGATATACATGTACATTGTATACAGTACCTGTGGTTCAGGCTAATATTAGAGCAGATAAACTTCTACTGTACCTGCATCTACATGTAAACCTCTGCACCAATATACATGTACCTGTCCCTGATGTTACATTTAAGTATGCAGCCTTACCCACCTGAGGTTCCAGCTCGAGGTCGTTCAGCCTCCCCTGCAGCCATCTCCAGCAGAGCTCCCTCTCCTCCTGGCTGTTCAGATACAGGTACAGACCTGTCCTGAACCCCTGTACCCATACCTGTACCTGTTACGTACAGGTCTGCAGTCCTTAATATCATTAGTAACTCACCTGAGGTTCCGGCTCAAGGTCGTTCAGCCTGCCCTGCAGCCACCTCCAGCAGAGCTCCCTCTCCTCCTGGCTGTACAGACCTGTCCTGAACCCCTGTACCCATACCTGTACCTGGTGTTACGTACAGGTATGCAGTCCTTAATATCATTAGTAACTCACCTGAGGTTCCGGCTCGAGGTCGTTAAGCCTCCCCTGCAGCCATCTCCAGCAGAGCTCCCTCTCCTCTTGGCTGGCGGTGGGCCGGACACCAGACAGTCCCACAGGTCACGCAGACGGTGCCACGGCAGGAACAGTTCCCCGTCCTCCAGTACTACTCCAATCATGCTCAGGTGGGTCTGGACACACTCATCTAGACCGAACTTACTGTCAACCAGGGCAGGGGCTGTGGGCAAGATTGTTTAGTGTTATTTGCACACAAAATAATCATTGTACAATATCATATATTAGGGCAGGAACAGTTCCCCGTCCTCCAGTACTACTCCAATCATGCTGAGGTGGGTCTGGACCCACTCATCTAGACCAAACTTACTGTCAACCAGGGCAGGGGCTGTGGGCAAGATTGTTTAGTGTTATTTGCACACAAAATAATCATTGTACAATATATTAGGGCAGGAACAGTTCCCCGTCCTCCAGCACAACTCCAATCATGCTCAGGTGGGTTTGCACACACTCGTCCAGGCCAAACTTACGGTCCACTAGTGCAGGCACCGTGGGCAAGCAGAGTGTTTCAACAACAAATCATTCAAAATTGTGAAACAAATTTGCAAGGGAAACCAGAAACCTTTATGGAGGGTTTCTATGAGGGTTTATTGAGGGTTGCACCAATGGGGATTAATTATTTGACAATGACTGTGCTTATGATAATCAGATTTTTGTTTCCTATTAGCTATATGTCATTTTTTTTAGTAGACATGGTTGCCAAGCTCAGTGACTGACACTGATTTGCAGTGGGGAACTGTGACGTCTTGAATAAACAAAACAATGCCAATCACTGAGCTGGGCAACCTTGGGTAAAAATGACAGGCATTAATATGAATAAGTCTTGAGTACAGAACCCTCACCCTGCATGTTGTCAGCTGAGCTCTTGGCTGTCTTGTGGATGGTGATCAGACTGGTTATCAACACCTTCACCAAGTCCTGGGTCCGATTCATGTCCTAGAGCACATAACAAACCAACATTAGAAAGGCTACATTTGCAAAGCACATGGCATAACATTTACTTCCAAATGCATAGTCTAGCCTAACAAACTACTGAGTGTCATGTTTAAGGTTGTATTTTGTATTTAAGGATGACATCCCACCTATACAGTAGTTTTTAAATCTTGTGTTGGAAAAGATATCGTCTGCCACAGGCAAAATTTTGATGGGACGTTGACCAAACATCCAGCAGAAACTGTGGAAAATCTGGGTTTCACACAGACACATTCTGCCAACATGCTTCCTAAGCTGGCCAATAGAGAATGCTTACCAGGCTGTTGTTTCAATGATTATGGGGTAACTAATCGTATCCTGACTTTAGGCTGACCTGTATAAAGCTGCGCATGAGTTTCTGTGGCATGTTGTTGAGCATGTTACGGAGGATGTTCATGATGTGTTGTAAGGCCGGCACCACAAACCTTGCACTCTTTACCTCATGTACACACTGCAGAACCCACTCTTTCCTGCAGGAAGGGGGAACAATGTCAGAAAAGCAACACAGGCTTACATGTACAACAATTATTATAATTGTTTCACTTGAAGTTGTACAACCATGAAGTTTAATGGTTCATGCAACATCTTTTTTGCTTATCAGAAACATTTCAAGTTTTGTCAGCACCAATGTTAATATCATTTTTTGGACAATCAAGGGCTTGAAATACTTTTACATGCACCAAACAAATTTTACCTGCATCAGAAACCATTGCCATTATTTCTTTTATACTATGTCTTCCTACTTAGCACATGGACTAGTACAGGTTAGGTGCAGGTAGACATCAGAAATACCTGCACAGCTCCAAGGTGCATATCTGTCTCTCTCTTTCTTTCCAGTTTAACGTCTGTTGTTCCCCATGTTCCAAGGGTTAGACGTGTTTGCACACTGATGCTGGGGCACATGAACAAAGTATTTCAAACCCTGCAATCCTTACCTGGTAGCAGTAGTTATCTGTGATGTGTTGAACAGTATGGTAGAGTGCTGGTTGAGAGCCTGGTGCAGTAGTGGGTACTGTGTACTTACCTGGTAGCAGTAGTTATCTGTGATGTGTTGAACAGTATAGTAGAGTGCTGGTTGAGAGCCTGGTGCAGCAGGGGCCGGGGCAGGGCGGGAAGATGTGCCATGTCCCACAGCATGGACAGCACGTGGTGGATGATGCCAGACTGCTGCGTACTGCAGGCCAGCTGACCCATCAGCTGCAGCAACAGCTCCTGGGTCGCCTGGGGACAAGGAAGGGTCCTTTAATTTCAAAATTTGGTTTAGAGATTTTGTACTACAATGTCATGTATCTCTCATTGGTTACTGATAATGATGGTGTCAGTATAAATAAATAAATAGACAAAAGTGTACACTTATCTCTCATTAGTTACTAATGGAATCAATACTTGCCATTGGTTATTGATGGCATTTCTTGTGATAGTCTCCTTGTCTCTATTTGGTTACTGATACTGATAGTATCATTAGATAGAGGAAGTCTACTTGTCTGTCATTGGTAATTGATAATGATAACATCATTAGAAATGGTACACTTGTCTCTCATTGGTTACTGATAATGAGGACATGGTATACTTGTCTTTCATTGGTTGCTGATAATGATGACATCATTACAGATGGTGTCCTTGTCTTTCATTGATTACTAGACTACAAAATGTACATGTAGTAGGGATGGCAGTTTTCATTTCCAGTCATTCATTTCTCAACACCTGTTGTTGGAAGATGATTATGAAACAGTATGCATGTCTCACATGTGTGCTGTTGGACCAGGAAGTCTGGATGAGGCGGAACAGGTGTTCCAGCTGTTCCTCGTCGAACTGTTCAGCAGCGTGGACCAGCAGGCCATGGATGTTCTCTGCAACAACTATGGGCTGGTTCTCCTGGGGGCAGAGGGGAAAGGTCAATGTGTCGTACGAGTGGTACCATAACAACTACTAATACTTCATTTCATTTTTGCAGTGGTTTACTTTCCTGGATTTCATGGTGACCTGTTCCCACAAAATTATTTTTGACTAGTGTACTACAGAATTGTGTTACCTGCAAAATCAAAATACTGAGTGTGAAAATGTCCCTTTCATTCCTACAGTAATATAAGACTGCCACAAAAGTTTTATGATTTACAGTACCACCAGACATGTACAGTACTGTTGTATCTTGCATAAAGCTTCAATGGTTTGAACTTAATTAGACTTTACCAAACATTTCAGATGCTGAGAGACCTCATGAGCTCAGATCTGGCAGGTGTGTTCAGAGATGTAGGAAGAAACAAGCCTACCTGCATCTTCCAGATATTGGAGATTTCCTTCTTGGCCAGGTTTGGAGCTAAGAACTGGAGAAGTTTCTTGACTCGGTCAGCATACTGTGCCTGAGGTGAATAAATGACAATGTCATACAATAATATTATTGTATTTACAAAGAGAGCAACAACAACATGGATATGTTTCGGGTTTCCCGACTGCCCCTAGAAAAAACCTGCAGACCCTTGCCTTATTTGAGGGTCAACCGTTGGCAAGTGACCTGATGTATGCTCCCCTCCAGTGCATATTTCAGCACACTGTTCTCCTGTAGCCAGCAGAGCAGGTGCCTCTGGTCCAGCCCTGCCCGACCGTTGTACAAAACAAACAAATAAACAAACACGTTACCTGATGTATGCTCCCCTCCAGTGCATATTTCAGCACACTGTTCTCCTGTAGCCAGCAGAGCAGGTGCCTCTGGTCCAGCCCTGCCCGACCGTTGTTTCCGCTGCTCTGTTCGATCAGCTCACCCAGCTGCCGCAGTGCCGCCATCTTGGGGCCGTAGTGCTGCGACTTCAGGCAGGTGATCAGCACCTTAAATACATGGAACCTAGATTTAGAACTAGAAATGTAACATTTGCAAAGTAAATGAATAACATTTACCTTTGCATATGGTCTGCTCTGTCAATTCTTACTCAAACCCAATCCAATATGTAGTGACAAAAGTCTATATCCCTCCTTCAATAAAATTGCAACATCACAGTGTACATGTATGTAACCCAACACCGGTTACCATGGTCAGAGACAGTCTGGTTCAGTCAAGTCAGAGGTCACTGTTTGGAGAGGAAACATAGCAAAAACAATATGTTTTCCTTTGCTAGCCTATTAAGACCTCTGACCTCTCAGCACAAGTTGCTGTCTTACCATGATTTTGTTAACTTACGTTAGCCTGTAGGTGTTTGTAGATAGATGTGTAGCTTGCTTTAGCGTTTGTACATGTGATACAACTCCAGGAAGACTAGTACAATATATGTATAGATATTCTGTACAAACTAATGTAGATCAATACAAAACAAAATAAACAAACCTTGAGGGTGAGCTGGTTGACAGCCTCCACCTGATCCACCCACAGGTGGTACACCAGCTGCCGCATGCACATCAGCAGGGACCAGCTGCCGCCAAGGTCCTGTATGAGACAGAGGAATGTTTTTTAACAAGTTATACTCAGTGCCATTAGGCCACATGGGCCACTGAACTAACGGAATAAGCAGCATCTCTTCTCTCAAAGTCAGAAACATCAAGCTTAGGCTGGTGGTACACTAGCTGAACCATGGTTACAAGTAGGTCAGAAGCAAGGTTGGCTACTGTTCAGCTGCTCCAGCTGAATATTTAAAAATGTTCGGGTGTGGGCAGGAGGTTCAGCCATGGTTATCTGGTGGTTGGCTAGTGTTCAGGTGTTCGTTGGCACACAGGGACTTGTACTTATATACATTTTCAAGACATGAGACATTGTCAAAGCAAACATACTTTACTCCTCAGGTCATCTGTTAGAAGACTTTGCAGTTTCGTATGTGCCAACTCCATGGGTGGCTTCAGCAGTGGTTGCAGTACATTGTGATTCAGGTAGGGGGCAGCGCAGGCTACAGGCCTCAAGGCTGCAGCCAGTTCCTCCTCACTCCAGCACAGGACCTGGCTCTCATCTCCGAACAGCTGGGTGAAGCCGTCTTTCTCTCCCCACCTTAGGTTCAGATTCAGATTTGTATTTCCAATGACATAGCGGGTACATGAATAAATCAATATTACCTGAAATGCGTCATTGATCACAAAGTGTAGCGTAAGTGTTAAAAGAAAATCAAGTAGAAACATTATAATATACATCATAAAGTAGAATCCACACAGTCACAGGTGCCTTTTTTCTAGAAAAGTTAAGTATGAGGGAGCACCACATGATGAGGGAGCGAATTTCCATTATTCAGATGCTTTTGACGATGTGGTTTGAGGTTCATGCAATTGGCAAATTGGTAATTTATAAGAGGGAGATTGCCGATTGCATGAGGGAACTGCGCCCCTGTTCCCCCGTTCAGAAAAACCCGGTAACTTTGAGTCAGAATAATCACAAATAAACTATTCACCTGTTGACCAGGTTGACGAGCCAGCCGCAGGGGTCGCAGCCGGTCGCGTAGGCTGGGCTGATGGCGTAGGTTTTACCCTCCCCGAACACCGAGTCCCAGTGCAAGCGCTCCGCGGGACGGCTGCGGTTCTTCACATGGAAGTTTACATCCGGATCAAAGACCTAAGGAAAAAAGACAAAGGCATTGAATATTCTGCCTATCACAATTAACGACACAACCAATGAGAGAATGGCAATTAGCAGTTTGACCTATGAGAAAGTGGCTCCATGTCTGTCAATTATTGGCATTCATGTGTTTTTACAGTATTTTGCATTTCTAATCTAAGTATCGACAAAGGTGACTATAGGTTTGGTCTATTGACTACAATAAAGAACATGATGTAACAGGTAACAGGAAGTTCTGCTGCAGTTCCACAGAAAACTGCTAGGGGCCCATTATCAAACTTGTCTTCCTTTCGCAGATGAATACATGTATCATACTGATCCATCCATAGATTGTTTAATCATGCATTGCACAGAAGGAATTTTTCGATAAACAAATTCACGACAACACAATAGGCTCAACACCTGTGGTGTCGCAAAAAAAAACATTCCAGAGGTACAGTACTTACAGTGCTGAGTAGATACAGTAGATTGACAGGTAGGGGTGGATGTTTGAGTCGAGCGGCGACCAGGTCCACCAGTAACTGACTCATGGTGTAGATACCTTCCTGGATCTCTCCCTTCCAGGTGGTCACGTAAGACGATGTCAGGAGCTAACATGGGAAAGAAAGGACAATGTGAATCATGGAATCGTGTGGCGTAATGGTTGGGTGTTGGCCCATGCCAGAACTCATAGGTCCTGGGTTCAAATCCTACAGCATGCCCCGGGTGTTGTGGCCTTGAGAAAGGCATTCTACCTGACTTTCATCACTTCACAGGACGTGGTAAAAATGAGTACATACAATAGCTTTGGTTAGGGACGTCTCAGGTAGGACGTTAAAGAACACACCTTTTGAAGAAGGCAACAAAATGGTCTAATTATTTATAATCAACAGTTAGCTGCCTTGTACATGTACATATATATGTGATTACCTTGTTAAATGCATCAGGAAGAACTCCATCCATGAACCTTCTGCAGTTCTCATCTGCTTCTGCAAGCCCTACAGGACAATAAAAATACAGGTATGTATTTGTTGTAAAGATAGCTACACATTTGTACTGAATTCTATGGTAAAAATTAAACATTTGTATATATGATGGTAAATATTCGTACATGATTTTGTAGTCAAGATAGATACAAATTTGTAAGCTCCTTCATACTAACCATCCCTTTAAAAGACCCTTCTAAACTAAATATACAGAACAAAATCTTTTCCTTTCTGCCTAACTGATCACCAATACAAATTTGGTGCCAAATTGCTCCCTTAGCACATTGACAGTCATGTTTACCTTCCTTAGCAAGCCTTGTAGCAGCCAGCAGACACCTGCCGAGTGACTCATGTCTGCGGTAGGGGATAGACCAGGAGTTGGTGAAGGTTCGACTCTCCAGCTCGTACAGGTTACCTGCAGGAAACTCCAGGTTCTCTCCCTCACCCTCACCCTGCAAACACACAGAACAACCTGCTGATTTCTTGAACTCAAGGGCATCCAATGACATTTCAGGGTAGCAAAACTGAATTTTAAAAGTCAATTTTCTGGTCATTCTTTTAATGTAGTATTAAGTTGAGTTAATCCTGTCCCATAGCATACTGATATTTGTGACTAGCACACAAAAATGTAATATTGCTGATGGAAAACGGTTGCTTATTTTGCATTATAGGCTGGTTCTAGGCTAGCTATTTTAAGAATGTACTTGTTGTGTCCCAGTTTTTCTACACACATACACAAGGCAGTTATAATTTGGGCTGCTAGGGGGCATAATTTAACCAGGCTAACCATACATGCTCTTATAAAAGTTTATGTATCATGACTTGTCTCAGTTTTTCTATACACATTTTTCTACTTGTACCTGCTCTCTCATACTCTAAACACATGGGAGACACTTGCAACAAACAGAATGCTTTGGTCTGGATACAGGAAGTTAAGAAGGGCTTACAATACATCGGGGGGAAGAAAAACAGAGACTTGCATCAGAACTCAGACACTCTAAATGTAACACTTACTAGTGAGTACTTGGTATATAGAAGAAGTATCTTCATGGTCTTATGAGACTGACGAAAAGCATACCTGCTCTCTGCTGCTGACTTCATCATAGCTAGGGGGCGCCTGATCGGCCGTCTGCCCGCTGACGTCGGTCATCTCCACCGACTCGAAATCGGCACCGGGCTGCTCGCTGGTCAGGATGGCGACCGCCTCGTTCACGTCGTTCTTGCCGAGCCTGAGCGCCTTGCGGATGGCGGCCACGTCGGGAAAGCCCATCGCCAGCAGGGTCTGCACGTGCTGCTCGTCTACATCCATGGGTGCAGGTCAGGGGGTGGCAATCTGGGATGAGGTCAACGAAACATCGGCAAAATGAAATTGGAGATTTCCACTAAGTGTTTAGGCTTTCATAAATAATCACATTGGTGCAGTTCAGGGGATGCCAATCCACGATATGGTCCACGAAACATCACCAGCAGAGATTTCAGACTTCAGGGAAGTGTTTCGGGTTTTTGTGAATACTGTATTGGAACTGTATTGTGTGATCATGGGGTAATACGTTTGCCTGGCTGCCATCTTCTGTAGTTACTGCCAGCTTCATATCATTTGACACTGGCTACCATGGTGGTTGTTACAATTCGCAACCTGTTAACCTGTTATCCACCTTAAACAATTTATCCACACCGAGGCCACCGTGTCAACCCTCCTCACTCAGGTGTAGGGACTGACATGGTCATCATACTCGGAAAATCTGTATCTGTATATCTGTACGTCATGAATCTGTATCTGTACATGAATATGTATCTCATTATGCCAATAAAGATCACAAGTGATTGCCCAGCCCATGGTGGTGTTTTATGTTGTCAAAAATGATGGGCACCTGTTCATGCATCCAAACTTTCCCCAGCAATATTAAGACTGTTGCTCACTTGGGCCATTGAAGCCTTTATCCTGACGTTTAATCAATCCATTGTTATTATTCGTAATCTCTAACTTTATTATACATAATGCGTGACCTAAATCTTTTGACCTACGCCTCGGATCATATGCTAAACATCCAAAAATCGATGTCAACCACAAATTATATTTCCGGAGTTGTAGTAAAATTTTGCTGGCATGAAAATGACTAAACATCATCGTCAGTTGGTGTCGGTATTTCCAATTTCACATTACTGGCAAGCCTAGAGCCACGCTAGTTTTTGTAGTGGTAAAATCAGAAGCCTAGATAGGTGGGGAGGGGGCGGTATAAATTGGGGAATGGGGCGTATAGCACCTCTTCGTACAAAAATATAACAGATAAGATAATACCCTTTGAAAATCACAATGCAAACGTGACTAGGGGGAAGTTTGGTCCTGATTATTTCAGATAAAATACAGTAAAAGTTGCGGAACATGACATTTGAACGTACCGTATGAGGAACAACTACAAGAGGAAGCGACAACATGCATCTTCGGCCGACTTGAAACTCGGTTGGAAAGCGCGGTCGACGACCTCGGCTTGCCTATGGAGTTGACAGTAAACGTGAGATAACATTCCGTGATGCACCTTTGTTCACTTTGCAATTTTTCAAAACACAGATTTTTCTCGCTTTGATTACGACACACATTCGCAATAGGACAAAAATATATCTATTAATATTATCCTTGATTGAAGTAAAGTTACAAGTGTTGTGAGTTTTGAAAATGTGTAAAGTGTGACTAGAATGTTGCACGAATCTGAGTTTACAAATCATACTTTATGTTTACGACGTGCTCTAGTTTCACTGCGCTTCGTAAACATTCGGGTTCGGTGAGTCGGAAATCCTATCGTCCGAACGCGTTTCGGCAGCCAATCAGCGCTCTTTATTTGATGTACGAAAATTAATTAGGCCATCCGAAGCGCTGTAGTTTTTAGTTGACCTTTGCAAAAAAGATCGCAGCAGATAGATGAAACTTGCGACTAATGTTCTACTTTGAAAGCAATAATTTTCAAACAATAACTTTAATTTCTTTTTACAAAGAAATACAAAGTTATTCAGGGAGTTATTTATATGTCGTTTAATGGCGTAATCTTGATAGTGATGCTGTTGACTTATAAGACATTTTGCTGCTGTTTGGAGGTGAGAGTTCAAAGGTTAGAATTTGGCGCGCCATTCACGTGACAACAGCTGAGTGGAAAATTCCGAACGTCCTGAGCGGATTATTTGTACCCTTGATCGCTACACAGCAACAACAAAATTACGGAAACCATGGCGGGAGAACTTTCCTCAGCTTGCTCGAAAGCGATAGGCGACGCTAAGGACGATCTGAATCGTTTGAGCGACGATATCTGGAAAAATCCGGAGCTGGCTTTTCAGGAGACACACGCTCACAACATCCTGACGGATTTTTTGGAAAACAAAGGTTTCAAAGTCGAGAGAAACTATATCAAGAAGACTGGGTTCCGGGCGACGTACGGAGGATCGGCAGGAGATGGTGTTCATGTGTGTGTGATGTGTGAATACGACGCCTTGCCGTCTCTTGGGCACGCTGCAGGGAGGAACCTGAGTAGCGAGGCTAGCGTGGCCGCCGCACTGGGCATCCAGGCCGCCATCAAACAACAACAGAAACTCGGCAAGGTAAAATACATGTTCCCTCGTTAGAAGGCTATGAGAATTAGTTATTTGAAAGCTTAAGATATGCTTTCCCCCGATATCATATCAGTTCTTGGTAGAATCTACCTGGTTTCTTACCCTATGAAAAAATAATAATTTGTAAGCTGCTCAAAAATATTATTATAAATGAAAACAAAAACAAGCCCGCCTCTTAAAGCCTGATTTGGAGGCTAGCTAAACACTCGTCCTTGAAATTATAATATAATTGTATCATCTCATCTAAAAAATCGAGAACAAAAGATTGTGGGTAGGTTTCCTTTGTGTTTCAAGGTCTGTCGCTTGTCCTAAGATAATAATTGTTAAGGGCCATCAATTACCTCCTGGCATGACGTCACCGGGACCTCAGAAGGGCATTTAAGGACATACATAACATGATTCACATACAGCATCACCATATCCAGGGATGTGACGCAGTATTCAGTGCTGGCAGTGGACCAGTACAGATTGAGGAAATGATATGTTTATACATGTTTGATGCCATTCTTACTTGTACATGTATATCATTTTCATGTCAATAAACATACATAAGTAATACACAATGTTTAATGATCCATCCCTATGTAAGTCATTTATCTTGCCAGATGTCATCTATCTCACTTACCTCATTATCGTGCTGTTACAGGGGTTACAGGGCTAGGGGGTTTTTGACTACCAAATTGTATGGTCATAATAACTGATACAAGTACCATACATTGTGTACCTTGTTACTATTCTTCAATAAAACATCTCTATAACGTTACAAGTTATAATTCATAGGAGAGTTGCTGTGTTTTGGGGCAGTTCAATTTGACTGTTTTTCAGCATACAACTTGAGATTTAAAGCCTCATTCTCTGTATTCAGCATTCACTACTGATTCAGCCATGTTTCTCCTGTTTTTGCAGGTGACAGTTCTCGGCACCCCAGCTACAGAAGGAGGGGGAGGGAAGCTGGACATGATAAACGAGGGCTGTTTTGAGGGTGTTGACTTCGCCATGCTGGCCCAGCCCCTGAACGAAAACATCGCTGCTCCTGTCACACTCAACATCCTGAGAGTTCGAGTCAACTATTCAGGTAATATTTGTATGTGTGCACCTTTTTGTAAACCTCTTGCTACCTATGGATACAGAGGTATAATAACTTGTTATGTTTATTTTCTCCTTCTTTTCGGATACGTCTTCTCCTACTGAATGCCCAAACTGTCTACACCACGAAGACGGCCTCATTACCCAGTAAGGGTACCTAATGGCCTGGATTCAGGTGAATATTTTCTAAAACAGGTCAATAACCTGGACCAGATGGCTATGACTATTGTAACTGATGCTGTAGCAAACACCCTGTGGTGTTGGGATGATCTGTAGTAGAAAATGTATATGTCACTTTGCCTTGTGTTGATACTTATCATTTAATGATTTCCTTCCTTCTTTGATGCTAGGTAAGGCTGCCCATGCCTCCACCCAGCCATGGGAAGGTAAGAACGCCCTGGACGCAGCCGTGGCCTGTTACAGCAACGTGGCACTCATGAGACAACAGATCAAACCTACATGGAAGATAAACGGTATGTTAGCCCATGTTTTAACCTTTGTGTAGTGCCTTAGTGTAGCAGTAACAAATTATTACATGGTTGTCTAGTTCCATTGATAGACCATGTTAGTATACTATGTATCACATTTCAGCTATTCTATGGAATTTTTTACTTGTCAAAGCAAGCAGTGGTTTTATTCCATAATTGGAGGGAAAGGGAGGTTTTCACAGTGTTTTGAATTTGTACAGGAGTCATAAAAGGAAGACATTTGCAGTGTCATATATTTGTAGTGGAGAGATCATGAAAATAAAACCTTCTTGATGTAAAATAACTTGAACCATGTATTTATCAGGAATCATCACGAATGGTGGCTTGAAGCCCAACATCATCCCGGAGGAGACAGAGATGGTGTTCTACCTGCGAGCGCCGGAACAGACGGACCTCATGTTCCTCCAGCAGCGCGCCACCGCGTGTTTTGTCGCCGCGGCCAAGGCGACAGGCTGCGAGGTCAACTTCGAGTTCCTGGACAAGCCATACCACAACGTGGTCCACAACTCTGTCCTGGCTAACCTGTACAAGAAACACGCCGAAGCCCTGGGTATGGAGTTCTCCACGGATGAGGAGGTGAGATTGTGGGACAAAAATGCCACCTAGCATTCTTCTATAGTACTGCAGCAGAACTTTCAGTTTTTCTATCTCATGTTCTGGATGTACAAATGTACTATGGTCATGATTTTTAGGTGGCAGAAAGACCTTGGTCTCGGAAGAAAGTGGCACAGGTTAGGTTTGGGAAATTGGGACCCCTAGCAGCTTTTTTGATCTGCGAGTGCCGTTGCTTGTTGGAATCGTTTTACCTGTGATATTTCTGTGTGTGTGTCTGTGTGTATAGTTAACTACAGACCACAAAAGGTCAGCCACAGGAAGTTAGGTTCCAGAAGCTGTTCCAGAGTCTATTGGCAGTAGAAAAGTGGAAACAAAATAATTCACAAAATCTCAAAAACTCACAAAGGTATGACATCTCTGATTTCTTGTTATGTCTTGAAATGACATATACTAGTAATAGTAGTAGTGTTTGAGAAAGGTAATTCACAACATGCAGCTAAAATTACTTTTCTTTTATATTACTTTTTAGGTCTTGCAGTCTTCAACAGGCTCCACTGACATGGGCAACGTGTCACACGTCATCCCATGCGTCTACCCTGCGTTCGACATCAAGACACAGGCGCCCATCCACACCCAGGCCTTCACCGAGGCTAGCAGCGCCCCCGAGGCCCAGCAGTCGGTACTGCAGTGTGCGCAGGCCATGGCCCTGACAGCGCTGGAGGTCATGCAGAACGCCCAGGTCATGAGCGACATCAGGAACGAGTTCGAGGCGACGGACGCCATCAACACGCCGGTCATCACTGGAACAAACCCCTTTCCCTAACTAAAGGGGGAATCAAATTGAAATTTCTGATAGTTTTTGAGCTAAAGTACATGTAGCTATAGTGCCATATGTGGTGATTGTGTGTCACATATACATTCAATAAGTTTCTCGGGGATAAGACAAAAATGAGACCAACAAAACTTCAATAAATTGAAATCATGAAGCCAAAACTACCATGCTATCATGGCATGGCAGTCTTGCTACATGTAGCTGGCAGCATTATAGGAACCAAATTACAGGTGTATGGTGGCATAATAATGTGCAAATATGTATTGAATATAGCCTAGCTTTGGTATGTTTTAAACTGGAGAAACCATTTGCCAACAGAGAATTTTGATTGTCAAGTTTATATACTAGAAGAAAGTGACTTTTACAAAAATGTAAATGAAGGTGGTGTAAGGATGTATTTTCTGCTCTTTGGAGACTGCTTATTTATGAATGATGATGATGATTTATGAGTGACAGTTGTAAAGTTGATTCCCACATGGGGAATTTTGTATGGAGTAGAAACACAAGCAGATGCATGGTATCTGTGCTGTCTTTTCCATCTTTCAACAGATGTACAATCATGTACTGTGAACTGGCTTATTGATGTGCCACAGTAGTGTTTTCAAGCTAGTAGTCCAATGTGGCTTTGTTATGGGTTTTTTGACACCCCCTACTCTTCTTGATTGGTAAACAAGTTGTAAAATGTTTAAGTGTGCAATATGAAAGGCCTTTTCAAGTTTCCTGAAAGAGAAAGATGGTTTGAATACATCTCACGGTATTATGATTACCATCATTTTGATGTCAAAATGATCTGAAGACCCCCATAGGATTGTTTGCTTCAATATAAGAGTGTACATTTCCTTGTGTCCAAATGTGTTGTACATGTATTTTACACATTTAAATATAACTATAAATACCTCTTTATGACTGTCAAAAGTATTAATCTTGAACACAGTAAGTGTCAAAGCAGATATTGTGTACAAATGTACAATGACTTGTTATGTATTTGGATTGTTGCAAGTACCATATTAAGTCTCCCCTGCATAAATATATGATGCCATGACAAAACACACACATCTGGACATGTATCAAGCATGGTCTAGAAAAGGATGGTTAATATGTTACTTAGTGACTATCACTTTAACCTTGATATTACTGGTGATAAGTTTAAACTTCAGTGAATGTTAAATGCAGTCACTGTGTAACATTACTTTCGGTATTTCTTTGATAAGGCATGTCTTTATGCTGGAATAAATATATACACAACACCAGTGTCATTACTTTATTTGTCCTTGATCAAATCAACATTTATGTAGACCCCCTATATCCACGCATTTAGTGAATACAGTATGTGTATTCAAACTGCAATTGTGGAACATACAATTACTAGGAAAAAAAACGTTAGAGTGCCTGCCTCTAAGTTACAAACATTACCTTTTTTAAGTGACTTTGTGTTTCATTTTCAACCATCCAAAAACTGTCCACTGCATGCAGGGAAATATTTGAATACACTTCATCTCGATGTTCCTAATTTAAAAGACTTTAAGTTCTTGTTCATGGGCAAATCTGACAGGTATATTCGTAGCTACTTTGTCTACTTTCTTCACACATCGTCCATATATCTTTTTGCACAGATTCTATACTTCCAAAAGGGAATAGTCTGATTTTAGGACTAACATATCATACATATCTAACATGGCAGTTAATAATACAACTTTGTATTTAGACCTACGTCTTGTTCCAATACTTGAAAAAATTGAGTGAATGAATTCTACTTGGTCACATGGCTATGGTGAAGTACATTATTATTGCATATTCCCTCACTGGTCTAAATTTGTCATTACAAGTATAATACTGATGATTACAACAAAATCTCTTGTTACCTCCAGGTGTGGAGAGGGTTTTTCAGTGTGTTTGCCTGTAGTTATTTGAAGACAGTAGAGTCACAGGAATTGAGGGGCAAATTGTGTACTAGTAATTGCAGACACATTTGTCCTTAACATAATCATTTGAATGTTAGTGTAACACCCATGTGAAATGTTCAATACATCATAATTATACACAAATACATTCCTAGTACCATTCTTCTACACTTGTATCTCTACTATATAACTACAGTACTATACTATATAACTTTAGTAAATGAATATTGGTCCATTTAACGCAAAAATAAAACACTTCCATATGTTACAAAACTTATTTTCTTCCATAGTTAGCATTACGTGAAAAAAAACATGTCAGTATTGTACAAAAAAGACAATAATTATTGGTGGGATCATTATGACTAAAAACAGAAAAAAGCATGCAACAATACAATCAGGTATACCAAATTTTGCTATTTCCACTATTGATATGTACAATCTCTAAAATATAAACAACATGAATTATTATTCCTAAACACCAATATTAATCTCAGGCAACGTTTCAGTGAGTTGGTAGAGTGAGGAGTCCAATTTGTAACTCCAACACTAGCATACAAGAAGCCAAACAGTGTTGAATGATTTTGGAATGCACAATTCTTGAAAATCCAAAATCAAATTGTCTCTATCATATATTTTCCTGCACTGTTAATGTGTGTTGTCATTCAGTTCATCAAATATATTTTAGCTTTTGTTGTTACAGTTTTATTTTTGCCTAGTTTCTTGCACATCACTCTGTTTTGTGAGTTTTCCCGTTGGCGTTGTGTGTTTGCGTGGGATGATTCTGCGGCTGGTCTCTGGAGATGTTTTTGTTCAGGTCTTTCGCTGCGTCTCTCCTGTCGTCAGTCTTGAGGAGTTTCTGTGCTCCTCGGAGCATCTTTCGGAACCAGATGACGTTCAGGATGTCGAGAACAAGGCACACGGAGATCCAACAGAACTGGGCACCGAACCCCAGCCGGTGGTACGGCTCTGTTCCCAACACCAGGTACACCTGGAAAATACCAAAAAATTACTGTACATTCATCTGTCATAAAAGGTAATGGTGAAGGTAGTCCCATAGTTTTTTATAGGCTGTAGTGACAGTGGGTTGTCAATCCACAAGGCCTAAGGGCATGGTATTGGAAGGTGGAGCCCAATCCCTCACTTTCCACTGCCTTTTACCTCCCCATTTTACACCTGGTGGAGTGAGGAAAGCCTTTCCCAAGGAAACAACATCTAACCAGGAATGCCAGGATCAAACCTGTGACCTCTTGATGTTGTGTCCACTAACCCCTTGGGTCATTCGACACACCTACCAGCTGTATGTAACTATTGTATTGTCCATACCAGTTAGTAACCTAAGACACTTCCTTACCTTATACCAGTAGATGGGAATGACTGCAATCCGCACCAGGAAAAAGGACGCTGTCATCAGTAAACCGTTCCCCACAAAGGCCTTGGACATCCGGGGATAACTTACAGCATCCAGAAACCATCTACAGATGTGGAAACAAAGAGAGATATTGTACACATGAGATGGCTTGAATTTTAAATCAGAGCCACAAGCTACAGTCACCACTACGGTTCCCTTGAATAGTTCTACTCTATATCTTGTCTAGAATAAAACTTCAAAGACTATACATGTATGAACCAATCTCACCTGTTGTTTACAAATGGTGTAGACAGCTCACAGAACAGTCTGAAGACAGCAAAATATGGCAGTGTTCCATAACTCTGTACAGGGGGTTAAGGATAGATTTAGTTAGCTATAGTCAAAACTTTCCAGAATGTTATCATTTACACCTCAAACACATTTGTCATTGTAACTTTCTATGCATAAAAGAAGTCTGTTCATGACTGGATTTGGAAGCAGATAGGTGTGTTATTGATGCATATTTTGAGTGAATGAAATATGCCTCAACATGGCAACAACCAACCCCGCCAACCCATGCCCAACTCACTCACTCATTCATTCACTTACTCACACTCTCACAAAACTATTTCTTGACTTTGCCCCTCCAATTCTCAAAAACACCATGAAGTTTGTAAATCCCATTTTTATGCCAAATGTAGATCCTAACAGACAGCAAAAGTGACAGCTCTATATCTAATTCTGTACTCTATGGCGTAACATGTCTGGACAGTACTAGTAATCCTTAACAGAACCCTCACCAGCACATAAGTGAAGGCATAGAGTGTCCCAAAGTGGTGCAGAAGGAAGGCCATGTCCCCGATATACCTGAAGTACACCGTCAGGGCAACTACGTCTGTAGAAAAAACACATGCAGGAAAACATCAACGATAAATCAGAGCCGTCAGACTTATAGGTTGTTGTGGGGTTAGGGTTTGTGAATGTGTTGAAACTGTATTGCATGAACACAAGGAAATACTCAATTGAATTACATCAGAGAATGGATTATTACTCCTACCTGTAATGGTATAGCCCACTGTAACTGCTATACAGAGTTTTGCAGCAAAAGAATCATTCCTACATGGAGGCAAGAAAAATTTAGGTAAGTCAGTATTGTACTACACTACAACAAATATAGGTCCAAACTAATCTACTAGTACACTATAGTACGTTCAACCTACAAATAGAATCAAACTCTGTTCATCTTATAGCTGATGTGAGTTACTGTTGTACTTTTGAAAACTGATCATACTGAGTGAATACATGAGTCTCAAGCACAAGATAACATACCAGACTGGGTCTTCGCTGAGTGCAGTGTCTGCTAGAAGAACGTAGAGTGACCACGGACCCACCACAAGGGCGTGTAGGGTTGACGTTGTTCTGTGGAGAAAAACCTCATAATGAAGTCACAATGTAAATGCCTTTGTTGTTATGTTACAATTATAACACCTCTGAATTATACTACCTGTCACTCTTGAGGTAATAAAAAACTGCAAGATAATCATGGTATTAACACTTACTAAATAATTTAGTGAGCAGTAGATCAAACGTGGCAGATAGTTGACATTTCTCAATTCCCTTGACAAAGACTGGAGTTGGACAGTTGAAAATTTGGGTACGCCCAATTTTTGTGTTGAATTCAACTTTGCTTTTAAGTACATTACAGTCCAGTTTGTGGTTCAAGTTTGCTTAGGTACATTACCTTGTGTCCCAGTCCAGTTGTTTCCGATAAGGCATCTCCCTGTACGGCGAACAGAGCCGACGTGACAACCAGGGACTGGCGTACAGGAAGAAGGACAGGAACAGGGTGAAGCTAGCAGCAACCGCAGGGTAGTACTGGGTCTGGAACATGGTCATGGTGCCGGCGGGATGTCACACTTGGTCAGGTGCTGAATCTCTGGAAAAAACATGTAAGATGTAAACATGAGCCAGCAATAAGAGAGTACATTAGAATAGTTTAGATGCTTGGTCAGGGTCAGTGCAATGAATCTCTGGAAAGTTAGATGGAAAGAAACAATAGAGTCAGCATATCTATCTATCTTACTAAATACATGTTGCCAGGTTACCAAACCTTGTTTAGCTGCCAAGTCTCTTTCACTTTAGTCCTTTCCAAAAAAAGAGACTCATGTACATGTAAAAAGCCTTTCCCCAGAACCCTGGAGCTATAATACCCACACATTACAGCTCCATGCAAGAACACAATGTACTAGTAGCCATCAAACCCACGATCGTGTCCACCAACCTAGCAGCCGTGTCATTCAGCGCTAGGGCCACACCAATTTATTTCCTTGGTTAACGGATTCGCCGCTTCGTTTTTTTGCCAAAATGAAATAAAAATAAAAACAGAACAAAAATCCATACTCTCGGGTCCCGAATTGGGGCCCCAAAATCCACCGCGTACGTTGTAATTTTTGCAAAATTTGGGCATAGTTAACAGCGTTAAAAATACATTGCTTCAAGGCAGAAACATTTTTCTGTGTGCAATTTGTTCGGAAAGCTAGGTTGCCTCTTCAAAAGTTCGTCAAAAAAAAATTCTTTTGATATAGAACTCGCCCCCCACCCCCTTTGCACATGTCACCATTCATGGGACAAAACTTCACTGACGACAGTCAAACGTACGGCAGATTTACTAAGTCATCATGCCTGTAACAACATATCATCTCCCTTTTAGATATATATTATATTTCATTTAGAAACACGTATTGTGTCGGAAACATGTGCTAGTAACGGGCGTTAAAAGTAATCGGCCGAACGTATAAACTCGGCCTGGGCGGCACATGCACACACACCTTCAAAACGATCTTTTT